CTGCTGGGCAATTCACTTGCTTGCCCTGCAAGTCCACCTTCAGGCCTATCCCTCCTTTCCGTTTCTGGGTTATCGCCTGCCATTCCACTAACTCCATAACCCGACTTGTCGGTAATATTCAGTCGGCTAATGTTTAACTCCATTAGCTCCACTCCACTTGGTCCCACCATTCATGGGCCTGCCTCTATGTAACTATATATACTTAAACTTGTAGATAGGTTACACTCCAGTGATAAAATCAACTAGAGTTGATCCCCCTTTAGTTCTCGTTGCCAGTAAGTAAATTAGGGCACAGACGTGTAACTTGGCACAGCACTCCTGGTCTGAGTCGCTGACAACTCCTTCATCTCGCTCCGGTCTCTAACAGTAGTGGTACATAGAGAAAAGGGAAAGTTGACCATGGAACAGAAATAGAGAGAGAGAGAAGAAAGGGGAAAGGAGGAACAGGGAGTGATAGCAGGGGAAGCGGAGTAAGGCAGTGCAGCATGGGATGCAGCGCAGAGTCAGGTGGGGTGTGCCCTGACAGTAAATGAGTGAACATAATAAAAGGTATACTGACCTCAGTCTCATGGTTGTGAACGCAATGAGAACTGAGGGCATCAGCGAAGTAAACATCGAGCTTTTAAGCATCAATTACTCAAATGTAACAGGAGTGAGAGTTATTACAAATAAAGGAAAGTGAAGCGACCAACAGGTCGGAAAAAGGAAGATAAATGCTAAATAAACATGGAATGATAAGACAGTAGAGACCGACTAGAAATAAATATAACATCAATCATCAGGCATCTCACCAAGATAATGTAGGTTGGGTATCCTTGCACTAAAGCGTCAAACCAACCGTTGCTGTCTTACAACAGTTACATGTGACTCAGGGTTCAGGGCTATTTGTAAGGCCGGTTGGGGTGCCAGCCTTGGTGACTCCTCAATCCTCAGGCTGTCGAGAACATAGACTGTATGGAGCTAGTATTCAACAGGGGGGAGGAGAAGAGCAAAGCTCCTTTTCCCGACCCCAGACACTATATATGTACATACAGGTGTTATACATTGTTTTGTGCGAAGTTTATTAATGAATAAAGAATCGCTTTGCACACATCATCCCATCCCGGTCCATCCCTTACACTATTGTGCTGACAAAATTGCCGCAAATGATAACGTTCAACCCTCCCCATGCCTTTTTGTGCTCATTTCATCTGGATAGTTGTGCCTTTGTATCAATTCCAGAATGCCCAAGATTCATGCAAATTACGTCTGCTACACCATCAAAAACTCATCAATAATCAAGTATTCCTTGCCCCACCAAAATTATGCCAATTCTTCAATTTTTTTGGCACTCGGCATCTTCACACCACATGCAGTCAATCCAAAGAGGACATGCAATGTCTTGCCACCAATGAGACTTGCATCATTCAAAAAATTCATCCCGATCATACATACTTCAAATACTTTAAATTTAATGGAGGCACGAGATTAAATATGACTTGTGTGTGCCGGCCTCAGCACCTCAGTTTTCTTCTGGGTATCCGCTGTGCCCCCTTGCTAGGTCAAGTCCTCGTCTGTACGCAATATTCATTGCTTTATGCCTTTAGACTGTTCATCCACGATGTTCAGTTTTTCTCAGTTGTCTGGTATGCAATTGTGTCCATGTTTCTGATACTCTGCTGCTTGATCGGTACGTCGGTGGATTTTCTTTCTCTTTACATGCGTCTGCTGTACGCTTCGGCCTCCGTGCCTTCTCTTCTGCGTCCGCAGTACGCTTTGGCTTCTCAGCCACCACCTCTCGCATCTGCTGCACGCTGTTGTTCTACAGTCTTTTACCTCCTCTTGCGTCCACACACACTGGAGTTTATTTCCTTTTTCTATGACTCTGACGTATTTTTCTGACTAATTCTCTTATTAGTTCTGGTTAGGGTGGTTGGTTGGTGTTGAATATTCGGTCTTGCATTGGATAAGGCAGTTAGCCTTGGTTACCCTTTGCAAGTTGGATCCCGGATGTTTACGGTGTCTTTCATTTTTCGGCTCATGCCTTGTTTCTTGTAACTTGACTTCTTCTCTTTTGTTGGCGCTTCTTGCTGCTACTCTCTGTCTGTCTTCATCGTTACCCTCCACCTGCCCCATCACCTCCTTTTTTTGGGGGGGGTTTTGTATCTACCGGCTCGCTTCAAATCAAGAGGCTTCGACAACACATGTGACTTCTGTATTGTAATACACTTTTTGTTCTTGAATGTGACTTTACAACTGAATTCTAATACAACAACTTAGTTGAGATTTTGCGCGTCCACGTAGTGGAGACGGCTGGGTATGAGTCTGAGTTTCAACATACAAGAATATGAAGTCAAAAAAAAAAAGTTGCCCCAGTGTTCGAAAGGAGTGAAGTATTTGAAGTATGATCGGGATGAATTTTTTGAATGATGCAAGTCTCATTGGTGGCAAGACATTGCATGTCCTCTTTGGATTGACTGCATGTGGTGTGAAGATGCTGAGTGCCAAAAAAATTGAAGAATTGGCATAATTTTGGTGGGGCAAGGAATACTTGATTATTGATGAGTTTTTGATGGTGTAGCAGACGTAATTTGCATGAATCTTGGGCATTCTGGAATTGATACAAAGGCACAACTATCCAGATGAAATGAGCACAAAAAGGCATGGGGAGGGTTGAACGTTATCATTTGCAGCAATTTTGTCAGCACAATAGTGTAAGGGATGGACCAGGATGGGATGATGTGTGCAAAGCGATTCTTTATTCATTAATAAACTTCGCACAAAACAATGTATAACACCTGTATGTACATATATAGTGTCTGGGGTCGGGAAAAGGAGCTTTGCTCTTCTCCTCCCCCCTGTTGAATACTAGCTCCATACAGTCTATGTTCTCAACAGCCTGAGGATTGAGGAGTCACCAAGGCTGGCACCCCAACCGGCCTTACAAATAGCCCTGAACCCTGAGTCACATGTAACTGTTGTAAGACAGCAACGGTTGGTTTGACGCTTTAGTGCAAGGATACCCAACCTACATTATCTTGGTGAGATGCCTGATGATTGATGTTATAATTATTTCTAGTCGGTCTCTACTGTCTTATCATTCCATGTTTATTTAGCATTTATCTTCCTTTTTCCGACCTGTTGGTCGCTTCACTTTCCTTTATTTGTAATAACTCTCACTCCTGTTACATTTGAGTAATTGATGCTTAAAAGCTCGATGTTTACTTCGCTGATGCCCTCAGTTCTCATTGCGTTCACAACCATGAGACTGAGGTCAGTATACCTTTTATTATGTTCACTCATTTACTGTCAGGGCACACCCCACCTGACTCTGCGCTGCATCCCATGCTGCACTGCCTTACTCCGCTTCCCCTGCTATCACTCCCTGTTCCTCCTTTCCCCTTTCTTCTCTCTCTCACCAAAATTATGCCAATTCTTCATTTTTTTTGGCACTCGGCATCTTCACACCACATGCAGTCAATCCAAAGAGGACATGCAATGTCTTGCCACCAATGAGACTTGCATCATTCAAAAAATTCATCCCGATCATACTTCAAATACTTTAAATTTAATGGATCAAGAGGCTTCGACATCTTGTCGGGGCCGTCGCCACGCTATCCGTTGCGCCTTCGCCCACGCACAAGTTCACTCCTTTCGAACACTGGGGCAACTTTTTTTTTTTGACTTCATATTCTTGTATGTTGAAACTCAGACTCGTACCCAGCCGTCTCCGCTACGTGGACGCGCAAAATCTCAACTAAGTTGTTGTATTAGAATTCAGTTGTAAAGTCACATTCAAGAACAAAAAGTGTATTACAATACAGAAGTCACATGCGACGGACATAAACACAAGTCCGATCACCTACTCCGGAAACCAACTCGCAACACTTCACTCTGACAACTGGTGCAAAATGGCAGTGGCAGCACCACTCGGCAATTGCCGAGTTCGACACGACAGAAAGAGATTGCGGACACGTGAAGTTCCCATGAAAACATAAGTCACACAATGGATCTTTTGGTGTTAACCCATGTGGTCTTGTACCCAACCCAACCCATAGCGCTTGGAGAGCACCTTGAGGGCTTTGAAATTAACACCTGGGCATGGGCGGAAAATCAACCCTTATATATTACTTTGATCCTAAAATACAGTTCATGCTCAGTAGTATAGGTGGCACAGCGTGAGTTGACGATATAACCTTTTTTGGCTGCATATGTTTGATTCTCAGCTGGTAAAACTTTGTTTTTTCTCATTCCTTGCTCTTTAGTGTGCACAAATTTTACAACTATTCCACAGGAGAACACAAAAAAGTTGTACCAAGTGAGAATCGAACATACACAGCCAAAAAGGTTATATTGTCAACTCACGCTGTGCCACCTATACTACTGAGCATGAACTGTATTTTAGGATCAAAGTAATATATAAGGGTTGATTTTCCGCCCATGCCCAGGTGTTAATTTCAAAGCCCTCAAAGTGCTCTCCAAGCGCTATGGGTTGGGTTGGGTACAAGACCGCATGGGTTAACACCAAAAGATCCATTGTGCGACTTATGTTTTCGTGGGAACTTCACGTGTCCGCAATCTCTTTCTGTCGTGTCGAACTCGGCAATTGCCGAGTGGTACTGCCACTGCCATTTTGCACCAGTCGTCGGAGCAAAGTGTCGCGAGTTGGTTTCCGGAGTAGGTGATCGGACTTGTGTTTATGTCCGTCGCATGTGACTTCTGTATTGTAATACACTTTTTGTTCTTGAACGTGACTTTACAACTGAATTCTAATACAACAACTTAGTCGAGATTTTGCGCGTCCACGTAGCGGAGACGGCTGGGTACGAGTCTGGTTGAAACTGATCTCTTGTTCAAATAAAAAAGTTTACATCGCTGTCTCGCAATATACCGGGTAACCGAAAGGAAATACGTAAGCAGTGCAGAGTCCCGCGAAGCGCGAGGATACTCGCGGGTGAAATTATTGCGGCAAGCAGTCAGGTGATCCAGCATTGAGGACTCTCACGCTCTTTCTGCCTAACATGCTGCGTCAAAGCATCGTTGCGGCGTCCAAGGTTCCTGGTACGTCAGGGGTTTCTCTTCTTACCACGTTTCGGGCTCTCAATGTGATTTCAAAAATTGCCACGTACAAGTGGCTCGTCGAGCTTTCTCCAGTTCCGTGTCACGCAACAACTATGAGGATACCATTCGGAACCTCCTTGTCCACAAAGACACCAAAGTGTTATGTCAAGGCTTTACTGGAAAGACTGTAAGCATCGGTGATGTTTAGCGGATGGAACGGACTGACCCTGTACTGTTTTGCTCCGTTTCCTCCCATCAATGTCACAGGCAACTTTCCACGTCCAGCAGGCTTTGGAATTTAGGACTAAAATGGTTGGGGGTGTCTCTCCTAAGAAAGCTGGGCAGACCCATCTTGGGCTGCCCGTATTCGGGAGTGTCAAAGAGGTCCGGTCACCTATGTCCTGCGCATATGCCGACTTCTCTGACAGTCAGCGATTTTTCGAAATGTTTTCCTAATCCTTGCTTGGCTCTCATGGAACGTGAATGGGTATGAACGCAGGCAGTACGAGAAACAAAGCCCGATGCCTCCGTCTTATATGTTCCGCCACCTCACGCCGCTGATGCTATCATTGAAGCCATTGAAAACGAGATTGGTCTCATAGTTTGTATCACTGAGGGTATCCCCCAGCAAGATGAAGTCCGAGTGCGTAACATTTCCTTTTTACTCTTGGGACTCACAACGTTGACACCCACATCCAGGTCATCAACGCGCTTAAGAGTCAGTCCAAATCACGCCTCGTGGGTCCGAACTGCCCAGGTGTCATTAATCCCGAAGGATGCAAGATGGGCATACAACCTGGACACATCCATAGACCGGGGAGCATCGGTTAGTTTCTGGTCACGTCCCAGAAATTTGTATCGGCTTTAGTCCCGCGTATATTTAGGTATTGTGTCGCGCTCCGGTACACTGACCTACGAAGCTGTCAACCAGACTACTCTTGTGGGACTTGGCCAGTCTCTCTGCGTTGGCATCGGCGGTGACCCATTTCCTGGCACTCAACATGTTGATGTTCTCAAAGTCTTCCTCGACGACCCGAAGACGGAAGGTAAACTCACTCTATTCATTCCATCTACCCTGATTGAAGTCTCAATCTCAATAGGGATTGTTGTCATTGGTGAAATTGGTGGATCTATGGAGGAAGAGGCAGCAGAGTATCTGGAGAAATATAACAAGACACGATCAAAACCCAAGCCCGTTGTCGGTTTCATCGCGGGCATTACTGCCCCCCCTGGGCGTCGCATGGGTCACGCAGGTGCCATCATTTCGGGTGGAAAGGGTGCTGCCAGTGATAAAGTTGCTGCTCTCCGGAAAGCCGGTGTTGTCGTCAGCGACAGTCCGGCAAAGATTGGGTCGCTATTGCTCCAGGTGTGTTCTAGCCCACGGTGATTCGTTTGCTCTTCTAGTAACCTTTGCGATATTCACAGGAAATGCAGGCGGCTGGGCTTGCATAGTAGCTGCAGTAGCCACCGATAGACATCAATGTACTAGGACTCTGCTGCAACCTCAATGTCACTGGCTTTGATACCAGGGACAGACGACATTTTGACTGAACCTCAATCCGCTTCCAGCTGCTGACGTACAATTACCTTGCTTGTTACCTTGCTTGCAAGGTCACCCTCCCATCATCCACACGTGCTAGCAGAAATGTATTACATGCAGCCGTCTATTAATTATGTTCATACCTCCTAAAACGTGCTGTTACGCTGTACAGAAGCCCATCCCACAGTAGCTGCCGTCGATCTCAAGTTCCGAAGCAGTGTAGCCAGCATAGAGGCCAAGTTAATCATAAGCCCCGTTACTCGCGGACCTGGACCTGGACCTGGACCTGGGCCTGTGTATCTAGGATGAAGGAACGATCTATGATGTCTTCAGTCTTCAGTCATGTCTCGATGATGAGATCCCTTGCCAAATGGTTTTCACTTGTTTTCATACTTCGATGAAGAGAGCTCCTGCGAAGCCCACGATATTTCCAATGCGGACTTGTAGTTTGATGAGACTGAGGCCACAGATCAGAGTTCGAGGCCCAGACAGGTGATCTAACAACACCCAAGGCTGAATCAACCCCCTGCAAAGCAGTCTATCACTTGGATTCCCACTCCAATGACGAAAGCTCCCATGAAGCGATGTCCGAGAGTTTCAACCGTGAACCCACTTGCTCTGTCGATGCAGACGATCACTGTACATGCATGCTGTTGAACCTGGATCACACTCTCAAGCACTTCAATCGTTGAACTTATTAAGCTTTATCACGTCAACGTTTACCATGCTGGACTCAAACCTCAAAGAGCTAAGGCTTGACGGCCTTAATCTTGTGTGGACGAACTGCAAAACAAAATCCACGGGGCGCTAAGAGCTTTCAGGAACGCTTGGCCATTTGGAAGACACTCCGCAACCTAGGCCTCATGGAAAACATTGAGCATAGTCTTGCTGAGAAACATAAGCCCCCGGACGAGCTATGCGACAACGAGAAAACTGACATCAAGGAGTGGAACTCCCTAGGCCCTGGCTCACCTTCAGAATATGGGCTATCATTCTCCCCAATCAAGTGCTGATACCATTAGGGATAGATGGTCAACATGGGGAAGTACATGTACAATTTATTCTTTGTTGATCATCTTTTTCACACATACATACGTCCAAAAAAGAGTCTGGATTCTACAAAGGGCTTAACGGTAACTCTTCTGTTATTCATCATTCCACCACCCAAAGTCAGTCCCACCTGCTAGTTTTTGAAATAATACATTAATCTGGTGGAACGTGCACTAGTGTGATCGAAAGCATCACATTTTATTCCCAAGCAAGGTCACGGCGGCGCAGCAGCCCTTCTAGTAGTATAATACTGCTTGAATCATGACTAACACTAGTCAGTACGGCACACGACATCCGCCTGGATGGCACCAATCCTGGGGATCAGAAATGGCGGAGGTTCACTTGTGTAAGGATATAACAATTGTGGTGAAGTCATTACTCAGCATTCCCATTCGTGTGTAAAGGGAGAATGTATCAAGTCAAACTAATGAAAGAAAGAGATAGGTACTTGGATTGGGGGGAAGGGGAAGGGAAAGATTAAGGAAACTTAAAGGCAGTAAGCCGAGAATGCTGAAAAACATGACAAATAAGAACACATGTGGTGGATGTGTATGCGTGCGAATACAGGAAATGTATGTTGAGATGACTAGTAAGATCGTCCAGTGATGACATGATAAGAATATCCAGGTCACGTTATGCATCAACAGTAGATAGCTTATGTGGATGGAGATTCTTTCTGCGGGAAACCAGGGAATTTCCAACGTCGCGGAAGAATAAGGTAAGGATGTACACACAACTCCGCTGCCATTGGGCGTTGTGCCGGGTCCCTAGGTGGAGACGTTAGCAAATAGAAATCCCAACAAGATGAAGCATACACAGCGAAGCATTTGCTCCGAAAGTCCTCGGCGAATTCTCCCAATGTAACGTCGTCCGGTACCGGGGGAGCTTGCTTGGTAGATCCGAGCTAAATTACATAAATATTACGCCCCTCGCCATACCAACCTTCAAATACTGCTGCTTACTTTATACATAACTGTTATCATATCTTCCTGATTCCACGGCCTCCTCCCCGCCCACATCTCTAGCACAACGCATCCCAGGCTCCAGATATCAATTTTAGCGCTATATCCTTGTTGGTTATTCGTAAGCACCTCTGGAGCCATCCAGAAGATCGATCCCATCATCGCTGTATTCGTCTCGTTCTTGTAGATATCCCCCGCCTTCTTAGATATACCAAAATCAGAAATCTTACATGTCCCGGACGGATCGACCAATATGTTGTCCGCTTTCAAATCCTATCAAGATCATTATGAGCAATTGCGGCGGTCAATGCAAAGGGAGAACTCACCCGATGCAACACACCGACTGAGTGCAAGTAGGAGAGACCTTCAAGTATGTCCCTGGTGAAAGCTTTAATGACGTCCTCTGAGAATCTGCCATACTTGCGCAGGCAGCTTCCGATTGAACCACCCGGAATGTACTCCAAGAAGCTACGGTGAGATTATGAGCCCAGGGAATGGTCAGAACGAGTTCAATAAACTCACATACTAAGGTGTTGCTCAGTTTCCTGTATACCGAGGTACTGCACAATGTTAGGATGATCTAGGGTTCGAAGTGTCGAACCCTCGGACCGAAGTGCCTCAACGACCGACACCTGACGGGCGTCCTCCTTATCGCTAACCGTCTTGGGCAATTCAACCTGTTTAACTGCTATCATTTCGCCAGCAGTGGCATTCAATGCAAGGTAGACTCGTCCGTACGTTCCACGTCCAATGAGTTCGCCCCGTATCCATTTGAAAGTGACTGAGCGTCTGGAAGTTAGTCCACTTATTTTGTTGATGTTAACTGACGATGCCTGACCTTGCTCCTTCCCCCCATCATTTTCTTTCTCATTTTCCTCTTTCCAATTGTGCCGCTGCTGGTTCTCATCCCGGCTCCCATTTCCATCAGCGTCGATTTCTTTCTTCCCCTTTAGTTGAGTGAACTCGGGAAGGGATGGTACAGGGGGCATTTGCTCAAGCGGGGCATGTATCCGTAACTCCTCGAGCCGGCTGCCCCAAAGCTTCGTACTCCTCCGCCTTAGTAAAGCCACTTGATTATCCTTCTTCTGTTCCTTTGTGAATCCACGGCTGATTGTCTGCCTCAGCTGCTTGATTTTGTTCTTTCGCTCGTCGACCACCACTCGAATGGATTTCCGGTGTCTCTCGCGAGCGGAGGAATTAAGGAGACCATCCATGCTATCATGAACCCCGATAGGTTGGCCCTCCGAGGATTCTGTTGGTGACGATGCATCAATCATCGGCTCATCAAGGTTGTGATCAGGGAAGAATTGATCCAGCCGCTCGTAGACCTGCTCGGGGGGTGGGCGAACGAGCCAGGCGTCGTCTCTTTTGAAATTGGTTCGAAGAGGGGAGAGCTTTGACTTATGGCCTTTACGGACGTTCAAACCAGGGGCCGACTGGGGCGGAGGGGTTGGAGTAGATGTAGCTGGACGTTCTGGTAACTTGATGATCGGTATGAGCAAGGTGCCCGGATCCGAGTCTGAATCGGAATCAGAGTCTGAAGAATCTGAATCAGTATCCAGGTAGCTAGTTGGCTTCGTCAACTTGGTCGGGATGACTGTTGACGGCACGATCGTCGACGCGCCAGATATAGATGATTGCCGCGTGGCTGATGTGTGTTTGGTTGATATCAAAGTCGATACATCTTCGAGACCTAAACCCAGACCTCCTGATGTTGTGGACGGCCAATCACGGTGGGATGATGATGACGTCCCTGGGGTCGAATTCGAATCATGAGACGCGCCTGGCACGTTCCTTTGCTCTTCACCTAGGCTGACTGGCGTGGGGACACGATCGCCATCCTGTCTCGATGGCCGTGACAAGATGGGCGACATAAGCCCCTGCGGAATTTGCACTTTCAAACGTGGGGGAACACCACTGGGTGGTGGTGGAGGTGGGAAGGATGGCGGAGGTGCGGCGGCTGGACGACTAGACGCCCCTGATCTTGAAGCAACACGAGCAGCAGTCATGGCAGGTGAACGAGTCAAACCCACACCGGGCTTCATTCGTGGTGAAATGCCAAGCAGCAAATAAATGAGTCAACGTTAGCGGGTGAAACAGTCTGAACGCACCGCTCGAGTCGCCGAGCCTTCCAATGGAGCGTCACTAACACCTGACCTCTTCTGGTAACCCTGTTCTCGTCGCCGGGGGTCCGCCTGTCTGCGGGTCCCAGCAATACCCGACACTGGTGGCTGCATGACAGGGGATAGAGCGGGTGAGCCAGTGGTTGTTGATGGTGTTTGTGTGTACATCCCCAAACCTGTTTGAAGGGCCAATCCGGAAGTCTGTATGGGGCTCGGCGTTGCCTTTGGACCGATCGGCAGCGCTCTTGACAAAGGCCCACGGACCATACGCAGATCGCCCGAGCTTCGAGCTCCAACGAGCTGCCGAGGCGAGGATGGATTACGAGGAGACAGTAAACGCTGCCCCTGGCCTGCATGTGGGGGAACAGACCCGGTAACGCCATTCAGCATGCCATACGGCGATGCACCGCCGCCTGACGCAGGGGTATACCACAGCGGAGTCGATGCCTGGGTTGACATAGAGGCCCCATTCGCTACGCCCGAATCATTTCCTTGGTTTCCAAGGGAAAGTGGCGGAGGGTTCTGAACATGGGCCGGGAGCTGGAACGGCTCCGCATCCGCTGGCGGACGCGGAGGGGGCACCGTTGGCGTTGGACGTCGATGGTATGGTGTGATCGGGCTCAGCACAGGGGAAGTTATCTGCGCTGTGCTACTAGCCGCATTAGAAAGTCCGGCCTGGAATGGTGAGGCAGTTTCTATAGAATCAGAACGTGGGGGAGGCCAGACGTTCGTGTCTGGTGGGGCTGGGACACCGGAAGCTAAAGACGGCCGTCCATCCGAAACATTGAATCCAAGACTCGATGGAGAACGAGAGACCAACTTCTCAGAAGCAGACCATTGGCCTAGGCTGTTACCGGTAGCACCCTGGGCTGCTGCCTGATCGGACCCAGAACGACTATGAGAACTAGTGTTGCGCACTTGCGACGATGCCGCCGGTTGAGGGAGGGCACGTGGTGGCTTTGACGGTGAAGTCATCGGCAGGTTCGACCTAGGAAACGGCGCCACGTTGTTTATGCGATTGCTGTTCACAGCAGGGGGTGAGTACGAAATATCGCGTGGAGGCAATTTAGCCGGCACAACTGGGAGGCAACAGTCAGGGAATGCCAAAACATATGCACTTGGAGTCAAGTCGAGCTTACCATTCGGCGTCCGTCCTGTACCTTCATCTGAAGCAAGATAACCGGTGTAGTCATCAGTCGAATAAGAATCCAGGAGTTCCGTTGATTTATTGCGCGGGACTGTATATTCTGAAGAAGGCGCAGGAGAAAAATCAATGAGGAAATGAAGTATTCCTCTATTGTCGCCCTCTTTTTCGCAGATTTCCAGAAGATCCTCGTTGGTGAGAGCCCACCCGAGAGGCTTTGAATCACGAAGTTCTGTACGGTAAATAGCTGCATTGTCGCGGTCCTCGTCAGGGATCTTCAACTATTCAGAGAAACCGGACATCAGAAATAACGGGCGTGCAAGCGCTCACGCACTTACAGTACCCAATATACGCTCTCGAATAAAATAGCCGTCGTCGCCGACCACGAGATCGAGAGGAAAGAAGCCCAAGCCCGAGTTGTTCTTTGTAACCATGATCAAAGTATCATTTCTCGTGATGGCCGAGACGGTAGAGGAGGCGTCAGAAGTTTCTGGGGAAGATGGAGAGTCATGAGGATGAGGGGGAACGGCAGGGGACGACACTTTGAAGCTGGGCGCGGATGGAGGTTGTCCCGGTATGGGAAGAGCCTTGACATACGGAGCAGTGATGGAAGGCAAACGACGGATAGGCTGAGCAAGAGGGACCGGAGAAGGAGACCCTATGGTCGGGTACCCAGGGTCAGGATTCGAGACATAGTACACTTGACGCTTTCCACTCTGTACAGTGTTCATGGCGCACACGAACTACAGGCCAATCCGGTAAAGCAACAAGCCGTGAAGTACCGCGCAGAGTACACCCAAGTTTGCCCTTTGACGAACGAGCGACGGTGGATGTGATGGATCGGGTGCAGGTCGGAATGCAGTCAAAGGCGGGAGAAGCCGAGGGAAAGAGAGAAGGAAAATGACCCCCGTTCTCCTAATTTTAGGCGCGCAGAAAGTTGCACCACAGGGGGAATATCCCCTCTTCCAGGCGTAACCGTTTGACGCTGTGGACGGAATGGTGCTATCAAGGGAAAGGATTCAACGTGGTCACTTTCTGTTCTGGTGCAAACATACACGCCTGCTCAAGCACAGCGGACCCGGGCACTGGTTGAACATTACCCTTTCTGGCCTCTCTCTTTTATTATTATAGTAGTCGCGTGTTATACTAGTGCGACTCAACAGGATGCAACTGGAAGTTTCTCTCTGACGGTCAAGTGAAAAAAAAAGCTCCCTCCGGTACAAGCCCCATGATCAACCTAAACCCTGAACGGTTGTTCCAAACCAGAATCACCAGTTAAATCCAACATTCGCCCCGCATGCAGTCTTAGCCGCCAGGCCAACACACCACAGCTACGCAACACCTCTCAAGGAAAACAATAGAAAACAGCAGTCAGTTACAACGCGATGGTCTCCAAGGAACGCCCCAATCCGCCGCATCTCGAATACTGCTTCAATTGCTCTCGTTCGGAGATACAGTATTTATTTACCACAACGATTCCTATACCAACGAAAAGGCGGCAATTCCAGGGACAAGTTTTGTCCCAACCTCCAATTGGTTGCCAAGGTCCATACACTCGGCGATCGTTCCCGTGAGAGACGAACCGGCTAGGCGACTGATATGGTTACGGACGGATACCGAGGCCGGTGAAAAAGGATGCCAAACGAAAGGTAGAGCGTCAAAGCTTGAGTAACGGACTATCAGATTTTTAGCTGCAAGCGAGCGCTCAACATCTCCCCCAATCACTATCTCCAGGCTCTATATAGTCGAAATCGAAGCTTTTCTTCGCGTTTTCCACCTCTGGTTCTAGCCTTAAACTGCGCTCGCCCAAAGCCAAATTGTGTCTCGAGACGTCGCACCCCTTTACCTACACTTCGAGCACAGATTTTGAACAAGATATTTTGGGAGGAATGAGAAATGGAACTTATTTGAGGATGTGGCTCCGAGCAAATGTATTTCGGATTGATGGGCATAACGGCTACTCTCAGCAAGAGCCTCTTGGGGCTGACAAAGGAGTTTGAGGGTCACAGATCCTTATGTAACTTAGAGCAATAAGAGGTATGGTTTCCTAATGCCCAAGTGTCCCATACTCTTCACTTTGAGTGTTATGTACACTCTCACCCCAGGGTCGAATGGCTCAAAGGCCACACGGGCATCCAAGGAAACGAGGAAGCCGACTCCCTCGCCATACAAGGTGCCCAAGCAGACCCTGACCCAAGCCCACCTGTATCCCCCCACCCTCAACATACCCAGCGGCGCACGCCTGATCTCCCTATCACAATCCTCGGCGTCCAAGCTAATACGTAAAGCGAGATCAGCAAAAAGAATTGAACACAGAAATAGAGCCGCGGACAATACCACTCTAATAAAAACCGCCCTCGAAAATATGAGGGCCAACCCCCCCCCCACACACACACGACAGATTCTGGAGAGACCTAAACAAAAATCGCAGAGACACCTCCCCAGAAATCAGAAAATTCCTGTGGAAATCACCCATAACGGCCTCAAAATCGGCGAATACTCTCTAATTACGAACACCGTGGTACCAGGACAACTGGCTTTACAGCAGTGACCGGGGCCGGTGAGTCCCACACTGAGTGCGTAATGCATTTCCCCATGGTGGCAGAACCGGACCTGACCCAACTACAACTCAACAACCCATCGGGACTACCAACTCCCATTACAAACCCCTAACACAGATGTATCGCGAAAGCTACAGGAGCTCCACTAAAAAAAGAAAGAAAGAAAGACTCTTGCACTTCTCGTGACAGTCACTAGTTATGGATTTATCTCATTCAGATTTGATTCTGAAAGACGATGCCAAGCACCATCTCCGAGCCCCAAAGTCCAATTTCCCTCAACGGTGGTTTTTGATCATTGACTTTTGGGTTATGTACCAACGGAAGGAAAAAGGATGTGGGAGCGGACCATGGTACGAGAACTAACGAGATTGGATTTGCAGGTAAACTGAACTGGCTGAACGCTGGTCTATTTATGTTCGTCAGTCTCTCGACAGCACTAGTGAACACAAAACACAAAACCTCACCCGGTGCGGCCAGGATCGAGTGTCAGAGCTAGGATGATTACGTTTGCCGGTTTATTTACGTCAGATCAGAGAAATCGCCACCCTCCGCTTGGCGTCAGCTTGATTATGCGATTTTATTTTACAATTGTTGAGGCTGTCCACGGGACAAGGGCCAGGCGCTTGGCATGGTCTCGGTCTGTCCCCAACAAGAACAAGTCCTAATCAGCTAAAGCCACTGGCCCAATATGGTATAGGACGTAGTTCGGGCTAAGCACCGTCAGCGGCTTTGCAAAGACGTTCAGTAACCGGGCACATCACCTGGATGCAGTATAGTCTAACACAGGCTACCACGGATCGACGACAGACGTGCTGAAATGAGAATTGGACTCGGCTGGCATGCTCACGGGCGGAACTTCTGACTGTCACCAAGCACGATTACTTACAAATGCCATTTTTGAGACGGGGATCCATGTTATGTTCGCGAGCCCCCGGTATGTGTTTGCGTCAATAAGGTGAGTAAGATACACCCTATAGAATCCAAGATCCACACGTAGGGAACACAGCAGCAGCAATAAGGTACGTAAGGGAGACCAAATCACCCATTGCTTTTCGATTAAACGGGGTAAGGTCTGCGATGACGATTCCCACGTCCTGGCGGCCCATGCCACCACCGGACCTTTCATCACTCGAGAAACTAATAGATGCACCAGAGTGTGTGTCCTAATGTACATACCTAAAACAATTAATTCAGGATCATGAAATTCTTCGAGTTTCATGACCGCATGCACGGCATCAACCAAAAACTAATCGCACATCGAAGCCGCATCATATATCTGAATTTGTGTCTAAATATCATACTCGTCGCCGATCCATAGTTGTCATGGGAAAGGACCCATTGGCGACAATGATGGGAAAATGCGCGGCCACACTTGCGAATGACAAAGCCTCCATACTAGGATATTGGAAAAGATTGCGATAAGACTTCCGATGCTATCGCGTAAGCCGAGTTCGGGTTGATCCTGGTGACCCATCACTGAACCTATCGCGAAAAAGGCTCAAAGGTTAGTCCCCCCTTTGTCCCGGTGCGCAGCTGACAGGTAAACTATGTACTTGTGTCTTGAGATGCACACATTAATATTGTAAGCCGGCCAAATCAGCCTGCATGTCGCCCAAACTGGCCCAGAACAGCGATTTCTCGTCCCTCGACCGGATCGTCGTGGTCCGACCTTACAACACGCACCACCCCACCCCACCTTCTTTCAGGAGTGAACCCACCCGTTACGAACTACCCAACAGCCCCGTGGTCGCCTGCAAAAGCTATCCGGTGACTTCACCGATAAGAAAAGTCTAAGGGGAGGATGTCTACGGGCCGACCCTCCCAATCCACATCCAACAATGAGAACCAGCAGTGGCTCGTTAGCACAGGGCTTAACCATTTGGTCGGCCTCGAAATACATATTTATGTAGGATACCAGCCTCTATAGATAGAGGCACAAGTAGCATCGGGGTGAGGACGAATAGTTCACTTCTCCAAGTTTTGAGGTCAGGGGGAAAAGACCAAGGTTGTTGTGAAGTGAAGGTCATAGAGGCTGGGATCCTGCCTACGTACAAGGCTCCAATTTCCAAACTTACAGTTATGCAACTACATGCTCAACATGTTAAGTAGTGCCAACAGTTAGTGAACAATCATCCCGGACTAGAACATTTGCACAACCCATAAGTAAAATGAGTCATTTTCGTCGATGACTCCGAAGTGCTTGCAACACATTCGGATTTGGCCCCATGTACACTCACGGCCGCCGACCGGCATCCAAGCTGTTGGCCTTGCAATCTTCTGCGCAGCACAGACAATAAGAAACATTGTGTAACTGATCAAACAATCCACTTGGTTACATTATTTACTGCTACAAAAAGAAGCTAGAAACGCATCATGCATTATCGGTCAACCGGAAAGAAAGGGGAAGATTAATAAAATAATTAGAAGAATAAACTGAACTAGAGAATGATGTCTACGGAAGGACTATCTATAGCTGACTAGCTGGAATTGTCTGTTACTGAGGAGAAAATAATTAGTTTATGGGGTTGAGAGGTTGTACCAAGTGAAATAGACCACAACGTGTCACCATGTGCGGCTCCACCCAAGCGAGGATTGAGGAATGATACTTGTGCATGCAATGATGATGATGATATTAAGTGTTGAGATGATGCTGACCGGTGACTGTCGAACCGTGATTTGAGCCGCCGACGCCACTGATGTGGAGGAATGTTGTGATGCCACCAACGCGAGCCAATCCTCTACTCTATCTTAGGAGCCTTTGAGAGGTTTCCACGAACCGGCGAACATGTGATGAACCATGGCTTGCTCGTCATATATTTCCCCGGCTCCAAACAGCTTGACGCCGGGCGAAAACCCTGCAAGGAATAGATTTCAACGTCGGCGCTACATGAAAATGAGAACAGGTCAGGAGTAAACGCACCAGTAACGGGAAGCACGACCGTTTCTTGGAATCTTAATGGAACCCTCCTGTCCTTTAGCGAAGGCCACATCATTCCATGCCCGGCGGCTAGGTACCTGGAAAAAGGAACAACCGGAATCGGACCCCTTCCTTGCTCTCCTCGAACGAGCATCACCACTGCTCACCTCATAACCGAATCTGTAAACACCCCCGGCCCGGTCCACTCCATGATCTGCGCTACAAGGCTCCCCACTCCAGCCTTCAGACTTCCGAATCCTGGAACTTCTTCCAACTCTTTTCCATCTGCATTTTCATGATACGATAAAAATACCGTCCCCTCGTAGATACGACGTACAGCATCAAGGAAGATGGGGTGGTAAGGTGCTGAGGCGAATGTCCATTGGCAAACTTGGACGGGACGGGCCCACCACTTTAAACAATGAATCGATATGTCAGCATGAGAACGGGGAAGCATGGAAAGAAACGTACATTATGCCAATCTTCACGTCCACCGCTGTCAGAAAGGGTGAAAGAAGTCCCAACAACGTCAAAACTCGGCAAACACAATGAGGAACAAGTAAAACATACACGTCAGCCTCAATCCCAACGATAACGCTCGGTGGGCCCGTTGAATGAGTCCCTTGGAAATCCATCGAACCTTGCCCCCAATGGTCGATCGTTTTAAGCATGCGAGTGTCCGTATCGCTGTATATACCTCCTTCAACGAGTACAAGCAAGTAGCGCAGCATATCAGATTTCTAATAGATGTATACGGCATCCAATAAACCCAGTCAATGTCCGTTCGGAACCGAGAAGAAGTAAGGGAATCAAGCAACGTACGAGTATACCCGCAGGGAGTTCATCCCATGCCCAGGCAATCTTAGAACCCCCAAACGTTTTCTTCACCCATGCATCTGCATCGTCATCATTCATAAACGTATACTCATACCCACTCTGTGTCTGCCAATCCAAATACGTATTCGGATTCTCTTTTTTGGCTGTTTGCCATATTTTTTTAGGTATAGATGGGTACGTCATCCCACCACCATCCTTCGGCGTTGTTGACCCCATCCTAGAGGGACCCAATGAAGGGTCTCGAGGGAGGTAAACCTCCAGATGCCGAAGAGCCTCTTTGACAAGGGTCGGTGGAAAGGCCGTCGTAATGAACTTTGTTAAATCTTCTCTACATCCTTCTCTATCCGTACTCTCCAAGTTATAGCTTTGATCGGCCTCGAGTCCCAGCTCGGTCAAGCCGGGTTCTTTAAAAGGTTTTTTGGGTTGGGAAGCGCCGACAACGGTATTCTGGGCATGATGTTCGAGGATATCATTTAACTCTTCAAGACGTATTCTGGAGGCAGAACGTGTGGGGTAGATGATGGTGAAGAAGAAGAAAGTGAAGAGGGAGAGTATTACGATGGAAAAGATGATTCGTCGGGAGATCCAGGACCAGCGGCGCTTAGGGTGGTACGTTGGTGGTAGTAGAAGACTAACTTGAAGTGGCCACATCCTCACAGTAGAATAAGCCAAGAGGAACTGTCGAAAAGGGTAGAGAGGAAGAGAGGCAAAATCAGTATGTTGGGAACAAGTCAACGTCGTTGTTTGCCCAGATGTTGTGTGCGAAAAAACATCACAGCTGTCATTCAAACATTGCACTCCCATCAGCTTCAAATCACCACCCTGCAATAATCCAGAACGTTTAGCGTTCATGATCCCTCAGCTCCTGACTGCGCCTATTCGTGGATGTGCCAAGTGTGTTACAATAAATGTCGTGCGCGACGCACTGCATGAACGAAACAACAGTGAGTATAATCTCGAGTAAAATAAATAAGAAGGATATCACCTTGCAGAAGAGAACTGGAGGAGATCTACCCACGCGGTATTTATGTGACTGGCCCCTGATATCCCGTGTAGCAATAACTGATAAATCAGCAACAAGAATATTGGTATCGGCGGTTCACGCATCAATACCGCCTTATTTACTTAGAAATCAAGAATAAATATCATCAGTCTCCAGCAATGTGGTCGAAGAGAAGGTTAATCCTGGGCGCATGTGCAAAGGTCGAAGCTGCTCATTCAATGACGGCTGGGGTGGCACGTTCACTGCATAATTTCAACATGCACTTCATAGTACACAGAAAATTTAGACACATCGTGCAACTGTGACAGCTACATCGCGCGCATTGCGGCGTAGTTCCCAGTCTGAGATACTCCATAAGCGCATGTACAAGCACCAACACCTCTGATTAACCATCATCGCCAACACAGCAAAATATGCCCCGGAGAACGAAAGAACGGCCTGGCCAGGGCTCACGAAGGGAGATATCCTTCTCTCAACTCCTGTTCCAACCGCTTCACCTCTTCCGCACTCGTTGCCCTTGCCAACGCCTCTCGAATGCGATTCTTCTCCTCAGCCGTCATCAATCGACCACTGGCGCCTGGCACGAAGGTCTTGTTGCCTGCAGTTGTTCCTTTACCTTCAGTGTTGACACTGGCTGCTGTTCGTGTCTGTGAAAGAGTGGTGTGGAGAGATGTAGGGAGGTTATCCGGTGTCAAGAAGAGCTGACGAGCAGCTTTACGTTCCTTGATGAGATGGGAAATTTTCCAAGTTATTCACAAGACGAATGGGAGGGGAAGGGGTACAGAAGGTGGAAAAAGTGATTAGTGGATGCAAAGTTCAAGGAAACGAAAGTGTCCACTTTATCTTTGATTCGCTCAAAATCGAGAACGCGAAGAGAACGGCAGTTGAATATCACCCACTGGCGATACCATTTCTTTTCTCGGACTGGGCAGCCCAGCAAGGCTAAATACTCCAATTTTGTGCATTTCCCCAGTATCTATAACCGGGTGAGGCCCCCCGCGTCAACGAGATAATTAGAAGGTGAAAATTGGGGATGCACCTCCAGATCGCCCAGTTCCGCAAAAGCATTATTCGTCAAGGTGAGTGTTGTTAGGTTTGGAACACTCGTAGGTATGGATGGGTGAATGGAATGGATCGAGTTGTTGGCGAGAAGGAGCGAATGTAGACGGGGCGAAAGAGGGATGTTGCCTAGCACTGTGATGGCATTGTCCGTTAAATCGATCGTGTCATGTTGATCCTATCGCAGCGCAAAATTTTAACGCAAGTAGTATCACAGTATGTTATCAGCCATATATGTTCAGGTTGTCGCAACGCCAGCGTTAAATGAGTGAATGAGCTGCTGATGTGCCAAGAGCCACGGACTACTCACTCTAGTAACACCCAAGTTCTCGATAGCAGGTATCATATGACCTTTAGGTGGTCACAAATAAGAGAAAGAGAAAGATGAAATTCTCTAAAATCTCATTAACAAAAGTGAGCAGGTGCGCACCTCGAAGGTCAAGTTGACGATCTTTCAGAGTGTTTAAGTAAGAAGGAGAAGATGCTATGAGCTCGGGCGTGAGTTTCATTTTCTCTTACCCTGCTTTGAAGAGCAACGAGTGCAGATGGGCCTGAAATGCACTTTTGGCTACGGTGTCGCGTCGCAAACGCGAGGAAACCGTCTCGGGTGTTGCCGCGGAAGGCACGGCATCGAACCAGGGGATGGAAAAAAGGTGGTAACGAGGGTCTTGAGGCGGCTTTGGATGCTCCTGAGGCATTCAGGGTTAAGAGCCTCTTCCGTTGGTTGTGGAAGTTCAAAATGCCATGAGGACATGCGCAATCGCGGCAAGGTTGTCACATAGCATCTGTTGTAACATTCTCTCTCCGTCTGTACATGCAATGTACATATACAACAGAAAAACCTCTGGGCTAATACATCGAATAATTTTCCTCTACGCCGCACAATTCTCGTAAAAAGAGTTGAAAAAGTGAACGTTGCTCGGAGTGCGAATGATCCCAAAAAGGCAACAAACCTCGTGACCTCTATAGCACGTTTCGAGAAATAAACCTTTCAATTTTGCTTCCATCATCCTCATCCTCTCGACCTATCACTCACTCCTTGACTCTTACTTCCAACCCGACCTAATCCAACTCACTCCTCGTACTCGGGGGCTGATTAGCTTTTTAACCTCTTCCTCTCAACTAACGTGACCTGCAAAAAAGCACAATATGAGTGATACGGATTCCTACCCTACTGGGCCCAACGGCTATGCACCTTCAGGCGTTAGCAGCCCTCTCAGTGTCGCTGGGACTGCCGGTGGCGGCATGGGTTCTGTCCCCAATGGAGCCATCGTTAGGAAGAAGTTGACTGGCTACGTCGGTTTCGCCAACCTGCCCAATCAAGTCCACAGGAAGAGCGTTCGAAAGGGCTTCCAGTTTACTTGTATGGTTGTCGGTGCGTACCTGCTCCCAACCGTCACACCGCTTTTGAGGGAAGACGAGGGTTTGACTGGGCTTTGCAGGGGAGTCGGGTTTGGGTAAATCAACTTTGATCAATACTCTATTCAACACCACCCTCTATCCCGAGAAGGAGCCGCTTCCACCCAGTGCAGAGCGCCCGAACACTGTTGCTATCGAGAGTATCAGCGCAGGTGCGTTGGGATTATTTTCCTTATCATACGCCTGTTTGACAACTAACTTGGTAGACATCGAGGAGAACGGTGTGCGTCTGCGTCTCACTGTCGTCGACACTCCTGGTTTTGGTGATTTTGTTAACAACGACAACAGGTATATCTTTGCATTGTGCATGATGCTACGTAATTACATTCGTTCAACTACACAGCTGGAAACCCATCGTCGAGAACATTGAAGCTCGTTTCGACGCCTATCTCGAACAAGAAAATCGTGTAAACCGCCGCAGTATCGTTGATAACCGCGTCCATGCCTGCTTGTACTTCATTCAACCCACAGGTCATGCGTATGTCTTCGCAAGTTTCTTCATCGAACGTAATTAACCGAACCAATACTTTATTACCTCATCTTGGGATTGGATTAGATTGAAGCAGATTGACATCGAGTTCATGCGCCGTTTGCACACCAAGGTTAACTTGATACCCGTTATCGCCAAAGCGGACACGTTGACGGATGATGAGGTCCTCGCCTTCAAGCAACGCGTAAGCACTTGCACTACATCTACCCTGCCAAACCTTCATACATACGTTATTTCCTCGGAAAATCCGCTTCACATACCTTCTCTCCCACGCCGCTTGCGGTGAAGGGGGGGCGGCTTTCCATCTCGTTCATTCGTAATAAATTGCGGTCACTGATGAGCAAAAACTTGACGAACACGTCATGGGTTGTTGCCTGTTCGTTCTTTGTCGTTTCTAGGTGCTGGCGGATATTGCCTACCACAAAATTCAAATTTTCCAAGCCCCCATCTACGACAATGAAGATGAGGAGACAGTTGCTGAAAATGAAGAAATCGCTGTACGTTTCTTATGCCCTTTCTGTTTTACTTTCTGAATAAATCAATTTGTGTAGTCAAAAATTCCATTCGCCGTTGTTGGGTCTAACCAAGAAGTTCGCTCTGCCGATGGGCGTATTGTCCGTGGGCGCGCCTACCCATGGGGTGTGATCGAAGTAGACAATGAGGACCACTGCGATTTCGTCAAACTTCGTCAAATGCTCGTGAGGACATACATGGAAGAATTGCGCGAACAAACCAACTCTGTGCTGTATGAGAACTACCGGAGCGAGAAGTTGCTCGCTATGGGTGTTACACAGGATACATCTGTATTCAAGGAGATCAAGTGAGCGTGCCTTCGTCCCTGCTGTCCTGGATACATTGCTTACAGTACTTGTTACCCAATCCCGTAGTCCTGCCGCAAAGAGTGCCGAGGAGCGTGCACTACATGAGGGTAAACTCTCAAAGATGGAAACAGAGATGAAGGTGGTCTTCCAGCAGAAGGTCCAGGAGAAGGAAGCCAAACTCAAGCAATCCGAGGAGGAATTGTACGCACGGCATCGCGAGATGAAAGATGCACTTGAGAAGCAACGTTTGGAACTTGAGGATAAGAAGCAGAGGCTTGAAACTGGTCGACCCCTCACCCCCGAGAAGAGCGTACGTTTTGTTTCCTCTTCGTCGTGCACAAACCCTTATTGAATTGTGATCATTTTTTTCACAGACCAAGAAGCGAGGTTTCCTCCGTACATAAGGCCTCGTCGCTTGGTTTCGCGTGTGCTTTCAGATTGTCGTTCTTCTCTTTCGTCCATTCTATATTGCATCAGAAAGAATGTTCCTCTTCTTTTTAATCTGTTCCTGAGAATCCTCAGTTCTCTCTCCATTCCTCCGCCTTTCACACCACTTATCTCTCTTTCGATACCAAGACCCAATCGTTGCCCACTGACGGAATTTTTGGTTCTTTTTTCGTCAACGTAACGTAACGACATCACGCTCCTTGTTGGCCAGCTATTGCTAACGTCCTCACTTGACGTATTTTCTCTTTTCCTTATCAACGTTTGTCCCTATTCGCCGTCGACTATGTCTTTTTTTCTCAACGGGTTCCCAATTCTCCTGTCGTTACAATCGATTGTCCCTTTCCTTGACTGATTGACTGATCTTAATTATTATCTATGATCTCTGAAGGTGTGGTCGATCAAGCTGTAAGGGTTGCGAGAGGGTTTGTTGAGTCGGAAGGGTCGAATCGTAGGGTTTTGGGTGACCCAAAATCATGAATAGAATGAAATTTGACCTTTCTCCATCAGTGCGGCTTCCCGAGCTCGCTGCGCAAGGGAAACATCGATACAGGATATTATCTGGGGTAGAGTCGTGTGGACTGGATCCTCGGGGTTTGTGGTTTCGGGGGGAGGCTTTTGAGGACAGTAAATGCATGGAGGGTCAGATCCTGGCAAGGGTAAATCAGGCGGTGATTGTCGGCGCCTATTTGTTCAGCTCAGCAACCACCATCAAGAGGCGCAAAGCGCAACGGCAAGTGTCTATTCTTATACAAAACACATCGGGTCCCGTATTCCATGAGAGGAACGGACAATCTTGAACCCGAGGGTGGCTGAAATGCGCGCGAAGGCAATTTGATGGTAATAAACCGTCACTCACGGCTCTTATTGGAGCAGAATCCCTAGAGGTACCTGCACTCGACCTGGAGACCCAGAAATAAATGAACTGCATAATTTCCGTGCCATCCCCAACACAACCACGGCCCGAAGCTGTGGATGACCGTTGCATGAAAGGATGTGTTCGATGAAGGGCACCCAATCGCCGAACGCCATGGGCATTCCCTATGTCATGGCAGCCCCTTAGTCTAATAAAAAAAACTCCACTGGAGCCGATGCAACCTCTGTCTTGTGATAGCTGTCCTAGAAGGAAGATATTGAAGGGAGAGTTGTGGGTTGCACCACGAAGAACGAAAATTCCACACTCTCGAGAGAAGCTTTAGAGACCCCCGGCGCTAAGTGAGAGACTGCATCAAGATAGAAATGACAGAACAAAGCAATGTGACAGAATTCGTCCTGTGCGCATGGAGCTGCACCTCAAAATCGGCCTAGGAGCCACGGAGTTTCAGTGGGTATACGGAGCCCGGCCCGGATCCACACAGCGTCTGATCGGCAGGGACAAGAATGCGTTCCTACGCAGTGGCAACTCTCAGGCATCTGTACCCAGGAATGCACAGTTTGAACTTATCCAACCCGTTAAAATACTTCCAAGAGCCTTGGCCCCCCGGCCTGTGGACAGCCCACGCAAGCTGTAAAGGTCGGAAAACTAAGAATAAAAAAAGTAAAAGCCAAATAAGAGGCCGATTCCGGATTCGAACCGGAGTTGCTCGGAAAGTCCGATATTATCAGAACCGAGAGTGATAACCGCTACACTAACCAGCCAACTCGCTATGGTGCTCCAAAGGGTCCATCTGTATTATTTTATTTCTTATCAGCATTGCGAATGATGTCACATTCAGGGTTGGGCAGACAGACGCACAGAGAAATGATAGACGCCCCATCAGACGGTCGTCCACGGTCTATAACATTTGTAAGACCTGAACATGTGACTGTACAGCGGCTGCTGAGTAGGTCCTCGAACAGGCATGTCCCCGCTTTCATCTGGTCTCCAGTGTTGCACATGACGATTCCGACTTGGGTCAATTGTCTCAAAGATCCGAAGTATGGAGGTAAGGTAGACGGCGTCATCGGGTTTAATAATGGGGCCACACGTCTGCTATGCTAGAATCAAGCTCCTGATCCCACATTTGTGTCACGAGATTTTGAATTTCCGTCTCAGCTGTTAGGTTCTCCTTTGCCTGGAACCAGTAGAGATCCCACTCGCTCCTCAAACTTTGAGAGCAGTCATAACAGTGTTGTGCACTTTCATACATATTGTTCTATTCGTGTCGATGTGTTTTACATGTATTTACACGACAATTATATCTTTAGAGTCACTACCATCCTGACTGAGCCGCACTGATGTGCATCTTCAAACTTACGTTACTTTTGCTTGCAGCCGCTTGCTGAAAACATGCTAGTACCCACTGCCCAGCAACACCACACTTTTAAGCCTGGGACTTCAATATGGCAATCAGCCAAGCGGTTTGAAAGCAAAGATGCTTGAAATTGTGGGAAACTACGATACTCCTGAGGGATGGCAGTTGGGTGTGAAAGTTCGGGATCCAAGTGTCCTGATCCCTGTCTGAAGATGCAGCCGAAATGAGCACCGCATGCGCTTCCGGTGAGTACCTTGAAGTACATGCTGGCGGTTCAGTTCTAATCTGATGGTAGAGACCATGACCATCTTCTCTACTGAGAGCCGATTATGTGGGGGGCCTTTTATGTCCCCTGTTACTGAGAAGAACCGTTCAGTATCGGCAGAGGTGACAAAACCAAAATTGCACATTTTGCAAGTGGATAATCCTGCAGTGCATTGAGCCATGCTGAAGGGTTCGAATCCTGTGGAATATTAAAAAATCAGAGCGTTAGTGTAATAACTGGGATCTGCTTGCAAAGGCTATTGCAAGTCCAGTCTACCTGGATATCATGAGTGGAGGCAGAGGGATGAGGAGATAATGGAGGGGTAGCAGCGGGGGAGATCCGAAGCAAAGGGACATCGAGTCGACGTTGTTGAGAGGGAAGCCAAGTTTTTCCCGTTGCGCGCGTCTCTGTGCTTGCATGCTCACAAACTCCAATATGGCATGCAAGTTGTTTAATGGATCCCTGAATCTCACTACAAAGGGAAATTGATATTATAATCAGCATGAGCGCGAAGTGGGTGGATGGATAGTTTGCCTTCTTATGCGAAGTTCGTTGTGCCAGCTACAGAATCATGGAAATTTTGTCAAGTTAACTGAGCATCGATGCAAAAGTTGCATTTGTGAATACTATGACTTTTGTTGTTGTTGTTCCCATGGAGGTCAAGAAATCATTGCCGTAGGGGGTTTCTGCGGCCCATCTCAGGTGTTGACTCAGTAGAGGTGAAAAACAGATATTAGAAGTGTCATATAGAATTTAGCATTCTCGAGCACAGGCAGTCACCGACCAGGCAGCAGGCGTCGCTCACACATTGCCGCAAAATGAACAGTACATTAAATTTCTCGCGAGAGGATGACCGTGCATGACATTGGTGTAACGAACGATTCGAAGCGCAGTCCAGTGCAGTTGAAACGAACAAATGTCTCCTTGTTATGAGCGCGCATGCTACACCATCAGAAGGCAGGAAGCGAGCTGTGGAACAACTAGAAATCGGATATTCACAAATGAAGGGACATGGTACCGATCACCGCCACCCCTTCCTTGAACAACAATTCCATTCCATCACGGGGAACGTCTACACCTTCATCGTCGAACGCATGGAGGTCAACATGAAACTTAAACTCCATTTGAACAGAGAGTGAAGGAAGACCATGGCGAAAATGAGACTCTGGGGATGGTGAAAGGGCACCACAAACGGGGACGCTTCGATCAAACGCGGAAAAGATCCGTTGCCGAATAGAACAAACGAACGAACCTGAATACACGGATATAAATTGACCCATTCATGGCGTGATCGATGAGGTCTATGAAATGCCCGCGCTCGACTAACGTAGCCGGAGATATGAACGACGGAAACACCCCTTCCATGGCACTCCCATATAGCGTGGCTCAGTGCAAAATTGAGAGGAAAAACGAGGGGCATTTTCGGGGGACGAACCTCAGTTGAATGAGTTGGATTTATCTGTACGACCTTGACTAAGTTTTGCGGTCTTTCACCAAAGAACCTACTACCATATGAAAATGCGGAAGGCCCAGGTTCTGAGCTGCGCAATGCATTCCCAGATGAGGTGCCCAAATTGTAAGCCTTGCGGCGCAACGCAACACTACGTCAACACGTGCGATTCGGGTTAAAAAACTTGCTTGATAGTTAGCCCGCTGTGCTTCTGAGAGAGTGAGTAGTTAACATCGAGAACGAGAAGGGGGCAGGGTGGCATCCATCCAAATCACAAGGAAACAATGTGTCCGAACAGATTGGATTGTGATTGGACATGATTGAGAACATTTGAGGAGTGACGATGTAGTGAATGCGGCAGCAGATGTGAACGCCCGCTGAGTGGTGAAGTGTTGACCAAATCCAGAAAAACAGCCAAGTGCCGACCGCGTTGGTGATTGTGCCGACGGAAACTTGACATTGGACATTGTCGTTCAAGTTCTGACCAGCACGCTATTGATTACAGTCCACTATTCCCAAAAGCGTAACAAGCAGGCTTTGGAACATCGTAAGGGAAAGCAGAAAATCGAACGAATTGGAGATACCCGTCAATGTGGGGAAATTGGGAGCAGGCGTTCGCGCATGCAGTATATCATTGAATAGCAGTCGCCATTAACAATATGCCGTACAAGTTATAAACGTGTACCGTTGATCGTTAAAGGATGTGAGAAAAACCCCGCGGCCGAAAGCGTCATTGGCGATGGAGGGGTCGGCAGCGGCAGTCCCAAAAAGGGATGAAGCTTGGGACCCTGAGTTGTCCGATAGGGCGAGCGTTTGGGGGGTAATTGAAGAATCAAAGGGCCGACAGTGCAACCGGAATAGGGAGGCCGGCAGATGAGGAAAATTAAGTAGAGCAACCCACGTGCGAACACAGAGGTTGAAAAATACTACAGGTTTGCCAGTTGGCGCATGGTTCGGATGGGAGCGAGCAGGACCTCGGAAAGCAATGAAATATGCAACAATGGAGGACTTCTTTACACGGACATTCAGTCTACGGAAATTTGACAGGCCGATGTCTGACCATGTGACCGTTTGTAAGTCCAATATTCGGTCAGAAAGGGTGAGTGCATTAAAGCGAGATCCGCGAAAATCTGACACCAATGGTTGACCTGGTTCCCGCTTGCGGCGGGTTGGCTGATTAGTGTAGCGGTTATCACTCTCGGTTCTGATGATCCCGGACTTTCCGAGCAACTCCGGTTCGAATCCGGAATCGGCCTGTCCTTTTGGAAATCCCCTTTTTGGCTTTATTAGACAATGATATAGACTGGTGGACGCCGTCGGTTGCAGTCCCAGCTGGAATCCTGCTTCATGGTCTGCTCACGGACACAGTAATAGTGTTACCGTGCCCATCAGCCGTGGGGACATTTCCACCTCCAAGAGAGGTGTCTGAGCAGATCCACCCCCTGCACCAGTTGAAGGGCCAGCGGTGCCCTGGGGATCGAGTGGTGGGTTACGTCTGAGCCCGTCGATCCCAGTGCGAAACACATCTCGCCAGCACACAGTGGCAGAGGCTGATCGTCAAAGAAAGGCCCCGTTTCCATGGACTCATTCGAACCGATGAACACGTACTTATGTTGAAAATTCAACAGAAAGAATAGTAATGGACACAGAAATATTCCATTCCTCGGTTCGTGCCCGACCGATTTGGCGAAGTTGGGAACATAACCTCGCTCACGAAGACCTTCCCACTTGGTGTTTCCGTCAGCTCGGAAATAGAAAGAGGGCCAAGAATAATGAACATTCCAATGTTCTGCTTCGGGGATGATGTGTGCGTGGGCGCGGGAAGCTCTGTTCAATCACAGACAACGTAAACCTTTCCGACCATACACACATCCCGGCGATCAATCGCAGCACTTGACCCCAAGGTGCTGGAGCCCTGGGAGATCCAAAAGGCGCTAGCCTCATGCCTGAATCCGGTGGAAACTGCATCAGGTAAAGACAAAGGATAACTGGTTGAAACTTGTCATGTTTAACGTGATGACCTAGTTTGTAGGACTCGTCCAATCGATGGCCACCGATTGATCAGGATAATAGTTATGGGAACTAGTGTATGCAAATGCGTACGTACCAGTAGGACGTCGTCGTCGTGTGAATGTCAGCCACCATGTCATATGTATGCTCGAATCGGGTCTCGGCTTACATAAGCTCAACGCTTGCACCTGGGCTGCAAGTTTCGACGGTGCCGAACCGATGGCTCAAATCGCATCCGCGGTGTCTTCTGCATCGTCTTCATTGAACCTATCACTGTTGGTCTGAAAACTGGACAAGTGAAACTAGTATCTTATCCGTCTCTTCACGTCCAGGCACCCCCTCCCAATTCTCAACGTCTCTGAACACTTGACGCGCCTCAAACTACAGACTGGACTGCAGAATCCTTTCAGTCAGAGAGCCTCCAGTCATTTACAGTGATAAGTGTGGTATTGATTCTATTCCAGTTATCGGCGCACTACTTGGAACTCAAAATGGACGAGACGTCGAAATCGTGAATTCATTCGATCTCATAACGAACGCCGAGCCGGGTAAAGATCTCGGATTCGGTGAAGCCGTTGGTATCCAAGTTGAATCAGGCTTCTTAAATGAGAGAAAAGAACAATGCAAGTGACCCCGTCATTTGAAGTTTGATTGGTTGTTCAATGTTACCGTTTTCATCCTGGCTATTCCAGATAAACAAGTTTTTCCCAACCTCGATCTCATCGGATGGTACACAGTTGCTGCAGGCCCGACCCAAGCACACGCTGCGATTCACGAACAGGTGAGAGGCTCTGCCCACGGCGGACAAGCGCTTACACCCTGCATTCTAGTTCACTGCTTTCATTACCACCCCTCTACTTCTCATTCTTTCACCTGGGTCACAGTCAGAAACAGGTGGTCTCCCGATAAAGGTGTATGAAGCAATAGTGGAGATTAAAGATCGTCAAACGCGTACTGCTTTCGTTCCTGTACCCGAAAAAATTGAGACTGGTGAAGCAGAACGCATTGCCGTTGACTGGACAGCACGAGGAGGAGAGGGAAGCAATACATGTCAGTACACTACCGCAATTTGGTGCGAGCAGCTGAGCTTTACTTTCTCAGTGGCTGCCCACTTGCAAACCCAGCGAACTGCAATCAAGATGCTGTACGATCGTATCGTTGTCCTCGTGAACTATGTCTCCGGGGTGATTGCAGGTATGTGTGGTCAAGTTGTTTTAATGTGGGCGGCACCAAATTACGCATTCAAGGCTCGGCAAAGAAAGATTATGATGCGTTGCGTGCATTGAACTCTCTAGTTGCGTCCCTTCCAGCGAGCGAACATCCTGAGTTCAGAGAAGAGTTCGATACTGTACGTTTCCACACTCCCTCTTTTGCGTTAGTCGATTATAATAAATATCATGCAGGAATATGCGGACGTCCAACTCACGGCATTACTCGCTACCCTCACCAAATCAACCCTGCAACTCAGTGAAGTAAGCACACTCTGACATCAACTAGCTCAACCTCACTTCATGTTCCTCAGATCGTCAACAGTCACATTCTCCTTACCTCGTCTGAGGGACGTGGAATGGGACGAGGCAAGGGAAGCTCACAAAGGATGCCAACAAATCTAATGGTGGGACGTGGAGGCAATTCGGCACTGTTGGGCGACTGGACAGGAAGTGGGGCCGCTTCAGCGACTTCACCAATCACAGGCTTCAGTCAGTTCCAGTGATGTGATCATGTTTCCAGCCATGATATCAGGAATCAAAACTCGTCCTTTCTTTTCTGATAGACGGCTGTATATAATGCTACAATAGTCATGACGGCGAGTGCGGAAAGAAGCTAAAGAGCACCATGAGTGACGAAGGACGAGACCCAACATGAAACACTGATAATAACAGACACAAAAGGACCAATCGAATATTGAGACCTAGTCCGAAGTTTATGGGCGATGAGGTTGCAAAGCGCCCGGATGAGATAATGTAGGATGGCGAAGTGTAGGCGAGGGGCATTTTCAAGCGAATACAAGGAGAAAACAGAAGAGGTCCCAAACGAACATGTCATGTCATGTCGTCAGACCATCCATTCTAGTCGTCATCGCATTGGCGACTTTTGTTGTCGAATTGTGTGTAGTTGTCCCAACACCCGTCCCGTTCGCCGCAGTAGGATTCATTCCTTCCTCGTCTCCGTCCCCATCAGCGTCAGCGTCAGCATCCACCTCGTCATCGTCATCGTCATCGCCGACTTCGGTACCCGTAGCAGCGGCTGCCGCTGTAGGAGGATCCGGGCGGTAAATGGGATGCTGCCTCGATGCGTCCAGAGTAGTGTCCATCAATGTCGTTTGAGGTGTTGGTTGATTCGGATTTGATGCGACCCCCAGTAATCGGGATGGGGTGCGTCCCATTCCAGGCGCCGCCGATTGTTGCCGGTGTTGACGAGCTAGCTTGGCTCCTTCTAAACGAGCTTGCTTTGATATTGAAACGGAAGCAGAGGTCCCCGCTTGACCGGCAGTCCCATTCTGTGCAATACCATTTGCAGATGCTCGTTTTCGTGAAGACACTTTATTTGCGTTGCTTGGAGTAGGAGCTGGGTTAACTGTCGTTGTACTTGCCGGGGCGATACCGCCCGTTGCGCCTGCTGCTGCACCTTGAGGCGTGGAGGTTGATGGTGCATGTCCCGTCACGGGCGGAGTGTTCGAGAATGCACTTGGGTTTGCGCTACCTGGTGAAGTACTGGGAGCGAATTGCGGCGGGACGCTGTGTAAATAGCTTGCAAATATGCCAGGGGATGTGGTTGGAGGGGAGGTTGTGGTTCCATTTACGACTTGCGATGTGAGCATGATGGGGAGTTGAGGGTACGTCGCGGTGAGGTACATTGGGTGGGAAATACTTTGCAAACCTTCTTTGTTCATTCGCGAAGCATCTGCTGTCGGGATGACGCTATACTGATTGATCAAGTTCATATATGCAGAGTTATTTGGTGGAAGAGCGTTGATAGGGTTGCTGAAAGTTCCGGGGGGAAACAAACCTGACAGAACGTTTTCGATACGGAACAAATGCTGTTTGAGTTCTTCGAATTCAGCACGGGTGACGTATCTTTCCGCGCTCGCCGAGGGAGGGTACGGCGTAGTGTGTATGGTCGTGGTAGCAGGATGATTTGGGTCAGTGTCGTCACCAATTACGCTTAGAGAAGGTGCAAGGAAAACGGTGCAAAAAGCATCAACTCTAGCGAGGACTCGGAGGACGATTGTGGTGAAAACTCACATAGGGTCAAGTAGCGTCCAGCGACATTTGTCCTGATCTCCTCGTCTTGCACAGGGGCTACAAGGATGACTTCGGTCACATCTGATTTTTCTCCGCTTACACTCGGTACAACTGAGCGCCTGACGCCGTCTTTTCTTCTTAGCCCGCTCTCCTTCACCCGCAAGGTTTCCATCCCCATCAACTCGTTCTTCACCATCGACTGGAACTTTCCTTTTCCCATTTTCATTCTCATCTGAGTCACCCGCTGCTTCCGAAGTACTCTGAAGCTGCTGGTGTTGCGGGTCGTACTCTCCCGCATAGTTCTCATCGACTTCTTCCACCTCGTCGGTTCCAAACGGAGCCTGCTGAGGGTGCGCAGAACTAGTTGCCATCGCTTGTTGATACTGGGCCATAGAAGGATGTGAGAAATCCACGGGGGAGTATTGGAGATACGCGTGTTGGTCCTGATTATGAGTCTGTTGCGCTTGCTCCACAACTGTCTGTGCTGCAGTGTGAGCTTCAAAGTTCGGGAAATAGAAAAACACGGAGCACGAGTTAGAACTAAAGTTCTACCGGAACATGAAGGGAATTTTACTCTGCCCGTTATCGGCTACGTGCCGTCGATCGTCAGCCTTCATGACGATGGTGTGGTAAAAAGAAAGTTGCTTGGAAGACGCTGTTTCCGTGTCACGTTGTCTTTGTGAGTCGTGAGTTCTACATACTAGTACTGTGACCGGAACAGATCAACACACGTCGTCCCCGCAACGAATGATGGCAGCGGACACGTTAAACTCATCCGAAATCTTCAATGCCAATGCTTTATATCAGGTTTTATACTCCCTGGTATTTGGTTCCAGTGAGTGCTTAACAGGCGCTAATGCAAAAGCGATGGGCGTCAAAACTCTCACACCTTCCAACGGTTTTTTTTTCAGCTCTCTGGCTAACTGGAATTGGGGGCCCCGTTGCCTTCCGTGTCCTACGTGTGCCATGCTAGTGCATAAATGATTTCGTCGATTAGCCTAACCTCGTGGAAACAGCACGTCACCAGTTCGGAGCACTCCAAGCTAAAACATTCCCAATCTTCTTCGGCATGTCTGTTGGTGTCGAAGTCACCTTGTTATCTCTCTGGATCCGGAAATACCCTTCAGTCATCTCTACATACACAGATGTTAGCAAGGCTGAAGTTGTGCAAGCATGGATCCTTGCCCTCGCCTTTATCCTGACCAGCATCAACACGGTATGGCTGGGGCCGAAACAATCCAAGTAAGCTTAAGGTTCATTGCCAGCGACCTTGAAACATTCCATTCTGGACCAAAAGTCCAAGGCATGCATTCCGAGTTGATTGATATGCCATTTATCCCTTCCATCCTGTAATCAGCCTCCTTCGCGCCTTTCTCTGCTCCAACCTCCGCTGGTTTCGTATCCTCATCTTTCCCCTACCAGAATCATGTGGCAGCGCCACAAGTTGGAGCGCGAAGAAGGGAAATCCTATCTCGATCCCACTGTGAGTTGAGACAAACCCTGATTTCGAGTTCCAGATTCAAAAAGCGTTCTGGGACAGGCATCGGATGAACTCAAACAGCTAACGGCACGTTTCGGGAAGCTTCATGGAATGGGCTCCCTGTTAAACTTGATTTCCTTCCTCGCTCTCCTATTCCACGGACTGTGGATCGGCACTCATGGAATTTAAGAATTGCTAAACCTTCTCGCTCCGTCCGGCCACTTCATGACGACTTTGCGTATTGCCCATCCTTTTTTTTTGGTGATAAACGTGCTCGCAACGATAGTCCTGACATTCACCCTGACTGATTACAATGCCTCCTGGGAGGCAGCGACACTATCGTGACAACAGACATATAAATAGACAAGATATATCATCGAAGAAGAAAAAAAAACCGATCACGTCTCTGACGGATTGCCCGGTTCTCCATCATCCGTCTCAATCATTTGCATCATGTATACAAAGAGGATCCGGTCAAGAGGACCTCGGAAGTTGCACATCCTTCATGGCCAAGGCGATCTCAAACGTGCGAAGGTGTTGATCGAGCATAGTCAACCCATTCCGAGTCCGCGCACTGGATGGGGGGACCAAAAAAAAAAAACCGAAGGTTTATTAAGATCATCCATGAACCCACGCGGAATCACATGAATCCACTCACAAATGAGCATACCCCTCCGGAATCTTTTCATCCTCCAAAATCGTCTTGAGCGTCTTCACATCCCCTCCAAGCACTTGGAAGAGCATCGACCCGTTACCCCACATGAAGAACTTGTGTGTTGCTGTCAAGTAAAACTGTGGATTGTCATTCTTGGACTGTGCGATACGAAGGGAGAGGAAACGGGCGATATCAGAAGTGGTAAGATAACCTTCCGGTTTCTCAGGACTACGAGGACCCGTTGCAAAGGTGAGGAGGTTTCGGATGAGATCTTTAGCTGGGATCGTCTGATCGGGTTGGAAATGAGCATCGCGACCTGGATGAAAAGTTGTGAGCGAAAAGAAAATGATGAAATGGGGGGGGGGATGTATAATGGAAATTGCGAACATACGCAGCATGCTTGCATCGTGTTCCACAATATTATGACCAGTCAAATCGCTACAACAAAAAAGGAAAGGGGGAAAGTGTGAGTTTTTTCTTTATCCCAACACCGAGCGCGCGGGCGCCCGCGCACGAGGCAACAAGAAGGGGCATTTACCTGAGATCTATAAAATCACGTCCAAAGAGACTTCGGAGAGAGTCAGATGTACTCTTGCAGAGGGTAGGGCTGAAGTTCCATGTTTCCTGGAGTGCCTATTGTCATTATTACAAGAGGGGTTTTAGAAATGGGGGGATTCAGGCGATAAGAGGGAATGGTAACGAGCCTTCTCCAACTCGGGAAAGGTGATCTTTCTACCGTTATGAGGGAGAATTCCATGATTAGCCATCGCATCTGACAAATAAACAGGTTAATCCCGGTGGTACATACATATTGGGTGAAAGGGGGGGGGGGTGTGAATGAAGATTTACTCACTCAATCCAGGACAAGGCGCTCTAGAGTCCGTCGGTAAAGGCGGGACGTGTTCCGGCCAAATACCATTATACCCAGGTTGACCAGGCTTGAATAATTCCCTAGCATCGCGCTTTCTCGAGAAGGTGTTACCCAAGAAGTACCCAAAGTCAACAGTGTACAACCCGATCGTCTGAAGGACCTTGATGGGTGCGTTCCAGTTGGCGAAGAGAGTTTTGACGAGCTTGAATATCCCCATTAGTGGGATACGGACGAGGAGCATGGTATTCTCGATGAAGAGGGGAGCCATTGGTCGAGGAGGAATGGATAGAGGAGAGGGTTTGTGGTGTGTAGTATGGGGTGTGTTTGGAGGGGAGAGAGGAGTGGCGGGATTTGGACAAAGCCTGGAGGCGAGCTATATACGTGCAGCGCCATTCATCAGGAGAGAAGAGGGCACCCAATTGGCAGCCAATGATTCACAATCAGCTCGGAATGGTAATCAATCATGTGGATTGTATTAATTTCGGAAACAAACGAACACCGCCACGTGTTGTAAGATATATATATATATAGTATTTGTGATTATCAGAGCAGGGTGTTGGATGTCGATGTCCGGGTTCTGCTCGCGTAGTCAACTCCTTGAAACAAAAATCAAAATTGACTGGAGAAAGACGTGTTTTCTTGTATAACACACGGGGTAGTGAGTCCGCACGACGGCGATAACGTTCCGTATCGCACAGCCACCACCCGACCCATCATTCTCCCCTTCACTTGCACCCGATCTCATTCATTCAATTCGTTCTGTTGAGCGTGGAGGATCGTCTCCGGATGGTTCAATTTTCTCTTATTATCAGTGGCCCGGCCGCCGACTGCGGCTCATGTTCGGGTCCTCCCTCGTCTCTTTCTTTCCCTGGTCCGGGTCCAGTTCGGTTCGGTCTTGAGGTGAACTGGCTATAGTGAGTAGTTCTCGCTAGTGTGTGTGTGTGTGTGTGTGTGTGTGTGGATTAATCATCACTTCTAGTCTTTCATAAGCGCTAAAAAAAAACCATACACCCATTCCTAGGGGAGAATTTGCATATACAATAACCGAATCAACGATATATACTTAAATTGGGGAGAAAGGAGAAATTTTGATTTGTCTCTCTCATCACAGCCATATTCGAATTTCCCCCGCTGATCTATCGCGGCCAGGTATATAATATTGCTTGTATGCATATGTATGCAGATCAGCCCAAATCAACATTTTTTTATTTTTATTTTGCGAATTATGTAAACATACACAGCTTTCGATCATAGAACGATGTTCTCTCTCTCTCGATCGTTCAGGTGAACATCCACTCAAGTGTTTTTAAGTAAAAGTCGACAGACCAATACATATCATACTAGCGAGTGATCGACGAAGGGTTTCAATAATAATAGGAGTGCCCTGCTTCCGTCGGAGTCGAGAACAGCAAGGTTATTTACAGCCTTTTCTAAAATTTCTGTCCGATCAAAGTGAATGGGTATTGACCCCGTTCGTAAAAAAAATCACCCAAAAATGATCAAATTTCTCGAATTTTTATTTTTCAATACAGTAGAGTTAGCGCCGCACAGCCATACCCATTCCCGACCACAACGATTGATCCTACCCTTCACACTGGCCATGATCAGACCGTGTCCTAAGCTACCGTGCACGAAAAGTTCTGGAAATCAGCAAGTTTTCCTCACCTGCTTTGATTCTCTCCGAAACAGCGACTGTGTGTCAACTATCATGTTCTCAACAAAGACAAGCGCGCCCACTGGAATGATGACCATTAGCCCCGCACCCGCTCCTGAAAACACCCCAGCAAGCATTCCAACAGTGCTTGCTGATGTATGTGAAGCCTCGTTGCTTCAGGCTGAGCCGGTGGGAGACAGAAACACCATACTCACATCCAGATCCTAGTTGTCAAGTTCGCGACTACACCCACGGTTGCCAACTTTATCAAAGAGGTCCCTTGCTGGTGAGCTGAGAGAATGCGGCAACTCTGCAGTCACCGAGATGGGCAATTTGTGCAGCCTCCTTGATAGTGAGGGTTGAGGACATGAGGACGATGTGTCACTTCATGTCTGGAGACGCGTGTTTGGTACCCATGAGATGGTAATGGTGTATGGAAGCTCGGCTGGGCTGATGTGAGGAGGATCGAGAGCAGGATCACTGTTTCCAATAGAGGCTGGCGACCTGCCTAGATTGCTGTGACCGTCAGTGCTATGGTCATTATTCAACGAGGAATGGGGAATAGCTGTGGGCGCTAATTCTACTAGATGGAGATATAATTCTATTGTATTGAAACATAAAAATATGAGAAATTTGACCATTTTCAGGTGATTTTTTTACGAACGGGGTCAATACCCATTCACTTTTGATCGGACAAAAATTTTAGAAAAGGCTGTATTGGAGAATGGTAGAGAGAGGGGAACACCATTAATTACAGTACGTGGCATAGGTTATACACATATCCTCGGCATGTTGAATGACATCGATTGCGCGGACCAACCCAGGTAAAACATCAAAGATCGAGCTAATGACCATATACAATCGCTCCCCCTCCCCTAATTGGGAAAACCCTCCCAACCATCCACGTTCACTACATACTTCCCACCCCACCGCATAGGATGTTGCAAATCAGTGCGAACGCCGCCACTGTTGTCGAGCGTGCGCTCACCGAAGACAGCTGCATACATGCGCTCTAGTCACTCACATGGTTGTTTCAAAACATTTGTCAATGTTGGAATCAGTTGTGCGCTAATTCTCTTGACACTAAGCTTAAGTGAAAAACAAAAACCCCTCACTTCTCTCGGAATTCGCGATCTATATCATCTTACATAAGATCATCGACCTTGACCTATAGAGCTGTTGAACATGCAGAAAAACAACCTGTGGGCCCCGGGCCAGAACATAGGTGTTGCCTGCGATCGATCGAATGACATGGAGTGTTAATCTTCCGCTCTCGTTTTATTGCTAGCGTAGCCCCGTGCAACTTAGTGTCAAGCTTAAGTATATTAAGCGAAAAATTGAGAATGAACGGAAAGAATAGGTGGGGCTGTGCGAAAGCTAGCGGTCTCGATCCAACTAGGACGAAGGATGATATAGGCAAAAGCCGGCCTTTCCCCCCTCCGGTTTGGCTCATCTTGCCATCGAGCTTTGATATTGGTATCTGCGCCTACAGGTGGGCGCTGGAATATTGCACTTGGCCATGCATGATTGATCAGCTTGAGCGAAGAGATGTCGGAAGCCGGAATAACCGACCTCCAGGGTTGGTTCTTCTCGTGTTGATTTCGCATGCATGCATGGATATTCGGGCTTGCTGTGTCATATTTACATCTCAGTAGCTTCGTAGCAATCAACCTGCCTACCTGGAGTACATGTACATGCAGTGAAGCTGGCTGCTATCGGGGGCTTTTCGACATGTGTATGTAGCTGTAGATGCCATGATCCAACCCAACCCATCGGGTGAACCGTTTTCCAGGTATGTAATGGGGTGGCTTCTCGATGGGACCCTTCTCCCCTATGTATCAGTTAGAACTCTCGGCTAGAACACGAAACGGGGTTTGCATGACTTTCGATAGCAAAGCCACACACACACACACACATGCTATGCAACAGCAACAACCCTAGGACATGGGAATATTGTCCGCCTTAGCTTAATCTGAAGTACGCCCACCCTTTCGATCCCAATTGTTCGGGAGTACCGAAGAACGCAACAACACCCAAAGCACAACAGTCCGGACCTTCGGGAATTCGGTAATTCCTGCCGGCTTACCGTTAAATACCCAAAAAAACTCGGGACACCAAGGCTCGCCCAGCCGTAACAATTATTAAGAAGATTCAATTATATGTATGTTATATAAAGCCCACACCGTAGTGCAACGACTGTTAGCTCATTCGCACGGCCTCTGGGTGTTGCCGGAGGCAACTAATCCATTCAATTCACCATTTTTATTTTATTTGGTGAGTGTCAGCCGAGTTGTCAGCCTGATCCAGCTCAACTGACTCAAATCATCTCAACCACGATCCACTCCTGTGCCTTGGCCAGTTCCTGTCGTTCATCAATTCGAAATACGTTCCAATCAATCCCTCCGAGGTTGATTTCCTTGGGCCTTGCAACAAACTTCTTTTTACACTCTGTTTCCACCACACACTCCTTTTACGGTTGTTCCTCTGTACTTGCCTGGTTCGCGCGAGTTAGCCGACCCTCTCACCTTGCTTGAGGTTATGCATGAAAATAAACCTGTCCTCATACTGCAGCTAAGACCACCCCAGCAACTTTCATGACCGTTACAAGCGTAAAGCTGCTGACAAAGAGATTCGGGTTCGCATTGAGGATTTGATCGGAATATTACTCCATTCCCATTCTATATGCTGTCAGTGCAATGGGAACCAGACTCTGCTTTTTCACCGAACACCTTGGCCAGCCCAGTGTACCGAAGACCATTTCCCCTAGTCTAGTTCTACACACGAGACCAAGACGGTTCCACAGGAGCACTGGATGTATGACATCCTGGAGGAAGAGGGGGAGCAGAGATTCCGAGCCATGGTGGAAGCAATAAAGCAGGCTTGTGCTGCGCTGACCAAGATCATCGAAAAGCAGTGATCAGAAAGCTCATTGTCCACAGCCGATACTGGTCGCATATTACAATGAAGCGCTGCTGGACATGATGCAGGTACCATCACCTCCACCAGCAGTCATCATCATCTAACAGAAAGGTATAAAATGCGTGATCATATTGAACCAGATATTTTATATGTGAATTGAAAAAGAAATATACCACGGATCTTTTACGAAGAAAAAAAAGGGGACGGGTGACAAGGAAACCAAGAAGAAGAAAAGTCCAAAGGAAGGGACAAGTCGTCAATTGGGTGACTGGGGAAACGAGTTTATTGCGCTGGGCTTGCAGCAGACGAACTTTGCTCTTAACTAGAAAGAAACGATGTGTATAGTACACCATGGGAAAAATAGAAGAATGTATACTTCAGACAGAATAGGGCGGCACGCGTCGTGAACTTGGACTCTGAACCCGGGGCTAACTTCGAATTTGAAAGAGAAAGAGCAAGCGGAAATGATGCATGCATTAGGAGCCGTGAAAGGTGAAGCCGAAGTCTAGCTGGATGTACGTCCGACATCGTATGATGGTGAGAGATAGGGGAGTATAACCTTCATTTGGACGTAACAGGGGTAGGGAAGGGAGACCAAGGTCGGTATATATACGATTTACAAGGCTTTGGACGAGGAAAGATGGTGTGCGTGTGGATGATTATTCTGTATTGTTGGTGTTTGAGTTGTGACCCATAAGCGCGTTTACGACTTCTGCCCGAGAACTGGAAGAAGGAATCTCAACTAGCTGAGATTTGCGGTCGAATTGGAACGTGAGCACGGAAGTTCAACACTGGAATTTGTCATTTGGGAACCTGCCCCTTTGCGATCGTAGGAATGATTGGTGTCGTATGTAAATGGAGGGTAGATATATTCGACGACGATAAATATTACCACTCGAAAGGGGTCATATGGAAGAGGTGAAGGGAGCCGCCATTTGCAAAGCAAGCCGGCGTTTTGGGTGTTTTTCTAGAAATCGGAGGAACAGGACTCCCTCGCCCTCACCCGCGATACGGTCCGCGATGCTGATGTTGATTAGTGAAATTAGGGTCTTGATGCATTCGCTGTTGGTTCTGCACGTGAACCGAAGGCCACGCCCCATACAACTGCATCGAGAATGGTTATTAGGGCAGGGCCTTGAAACACTGAACAGATCACTCACCATCTGATTACTATGACTAATGTCAGGAACCTCATAGCGGGAAGGATCAAGGACCATTCCATTTCCAGTTTGGTGCATATTCTGGAAACCAGAAGTCATCCTCGCACTGGCATACCTCTGTTGCTGTTGCTGCTGCTGGTGAGTTTGTTGTTGTTGTTGCTGCTGATACCCAATCCCAGGGCCAACAGAGCCCGGACGGCCAGGAAAACCACCATGTACCGGGAGGATAACATTCTCTGGCAGCGGCTGACGCTGAACCATCTCAGCAATTTGTTCAGATGTCGGATTGACACCATAAACCTCCCTAAAGCCATCGACAAGGTGCTGTACAGCATATGAAGTGTTCGCCACGACAAGTCCAGCGCCAGCCATCTGACGAGGATCAAGGTTCATCCCGTTTACGCTGTTCGCAGCGTTAGCAGCCTGAGCCTGAAGCTGCTGCAATTGAAGTGTATGCATGGACGCCACGATCGATGCCATCGAAGCATCATAAGGCGCGCTCTCGGTGCTATACCCACCAGGATTGACAGGATTGACAGTCTGACTGTTGAAAACAGAATGCGGGCCAGGTTGGGGACCAACTTGCGGCTGTTGACTTTTCTTCTGCTGACCGTTCCCAGATGAGGGAATAGAGAACGGTGCAGTATTAAACGAAGGGACCGGCAGACCAACTTCTTCCATGAGCCGTCTATACGCTTGAGCAGTGAGGACCTTGAGGTCGATTAGGACTCGTTTCGTCGCCTCGAGGTATTCAGGTTTCTTTGCGGAGTCAAGGTAGGGACTCTGTAAGATTTTAAGAATGACCGCAACGCCATTGATCTGATCCCCGAGTACATCTGTTAGGACATGATCGTTGGGTGAGAAGAATAATGCATCGACGACTTGTTGAGAAGCCTCGGGCTCTGCCTTCTGGTTGACTATGCGAAGAACAGTGAGTGACGCGAGCTTGTGCGTACAGAGGTGTGAGAGATGAGGGGTGAACCGAGGTGCTAGAAGACGATAACGAGAGTGGAAACCTGAGGTATCAAGTAACCAAGTGAGAAGTAGCGCGCCGTTGGGATTCGTTGCAAGAGGAATCGAGTTAAGAATGACGGCAGTTGCGATACGACGCTAAAAGGAATGTGTTAGTTTCGCCGATCTGGGAACGGATTTCCCGGCTCCTACCGCACCTGTTGACTGATGGTTATATAAGGACTTTCCAAACAGGCTCTCATGCTTCGCGCTCCGAATCGACCCTGAGCAATCTCCCAGAGACGGTCGGTCATCGCGTCGAATATAAAATCGTTCGCAGGTGTTCCGAATCGCAAACAACATCTGTTCTAAAATTAAGCCGTCTCCATGTGCCCGGCAAACCATCCCAACTTACTGGACAACATAATTCCCAAATTGGTCCAAAAGCAGGGGGGAGTATAGGGTCGCAGATTAATGGCAATAAGCGCGATCTCTTCCGGAGTGCTGGCGCATTCGATAACTTTCTGCGCTGCCCAAGTCCCGTTCTTGTGAATCCCGATGGAGGCGAGGTGAGGAGCAATCCTTTCTAACATAGCATAGCGTGGACCGGGCGAGCAGCGCTCAAAGAGTTTTTGCACAACCTGGGATGGCTCAATAAGACGCAGGAGATACTTGAGAGCGCTGTAGGAACTGACCGTGTTGCCAAGCCAATCTGAAGCAAGATCAACAATCTCGCCATCAAGGAAATCGGCAGCGACGTCGTCAATCTCCTCGACGGTACACGACCCAGAGTCAAGCCTCTTGCGGAGCTCTCGCAACTTGGAAGCATCCCATCGACGAATATGGCTGCGCTCTGCCGCAATCGGTATCGTTGTGTAGTAGTTCGTCGGCGGGCGGAATTCTGTGTGTTACTTCATCGGCACGCTATGCATAATCAATAGAACATCTCAAAGACGCACCCGCAAGAGCCTGGACGTCATTGTCAGCGTCAGGAGTCCCGTCACTCAGCAACCTCATGATCAATTGCTGCTCCGTAATACTGGGCAAGCCACCCTGTCCCGGAGGGTTCAAAACCATATCAATCATACTCAGCAGCAAATTCGACCTGTAATTCTCCACAGCGCCACCAAGAACTTGCTGATCCGTAGGAATAGCAGTAGCACCTTTCACGCCTCGAAGCGCGTGAATGGTTTGACCAACACTTAGATCACCAACGCCTTTTTCATTGGGGCTCGGGGTTGAATCGTGGTTCGTCTTGGACGACTCTCCTTCACCACTACTACCATCCCCGCCAGGTGAGCCACCCTTAACAGGGACACGAGCGAAGCCGATGCGGATGGCGCCAACTTCGCTTCCAAGGACGTCTCTACCATTAAGAGCCTTGCGCGCCCTAACAGCGTCATCGAGCCGTTCAAAATTGACTGTGAATACACAAAGCTTTAGTGTGCCCCTGAGTCTGGGGGTGGTTCTACTCACCGAATCCACAGTTCTTATGGGTCAACACCCTAGCACTCTCGATCGGTCCATACGGAGAGAAAACCGTTAAGATGGTGGCAGGAGTAGTCGTCGAAGGGATACTCCCAATCCAAAGCGCTCTTGTCGGCGTACTCTGCAACTGAGCGTCCATCCCGCCAGTGCCTCCGGTTCCGTTTCCACTACCAGGCGCTCCCCCTAAACCTCCTGCCCCCCCTAAGCCAGAAGAGGGAGCGGGCGTTGTGAGAAACTGAGAAGCGTGCGTTCCTCCTGAATTCGGTCCTGAAGGCGTAACTGGGGCACTATCCGCTTTACCAAATCCGATGCGAACCGTTTGACCATTTGCCATCCCAATACTGCCACCTAAACGATTCAGAACATCATCCTTCGCGCGGATCGCATCCGCGATGTCGACGAAGTTCACGAAACCGCATTCCTTGAGAAATCGAACATGGAGTGAAGAGTGAATTAAGGTGGAACCATGAGAGCCGAAATCACGAAGTTTCTGATCAGCGAATTCCAAGATAAACAAATTACCAGGACGTACCTTTTCGGGGAGGAGCCTAAAGCTCTCGATGGCGCCATATGGAGCAAACGCTCGCGCAAGATCTTCACCTGTCACACCTGGATCCAGATTCCCAATCCAAAGCGAACGTGAAGGGGTCTGCACCTGCGTATTCCCTGGGTTTGGCGTCGTTGGTTCTTTGGGAGAATTGACCCGCGCTGGGGCTTGATGGGATACGGCCAATTGCGAAGTTGATCCATGTCGAGACGCGGCCAGACTAGACGAGATGTCTCCCGAAGGGAAACGGACGGAAGGAGTAGTAGTCAACGATGCGCGAGAAGTGGTCTGTTGAGGGGCAGTTTCCACGTGTAGGCCTCGCAGCAAAGAGTTAGTTGAACTCTGGAGGGCGGCAGTACCATGCCCCAAAGTCTGGGAAGCATTGAGAGCTACTTCATATTGAGCATATGCATTGTAAGACGGGTCTTCGATAGCAACACGACGGGAAAGTGAAGAACCGACACGGCTGGTTGTATCGTCGATCTGCCCCATTGATGAAGCACGAGAGCGAGTTCCAGCTGCGAGATGTTCGGATTGCTTGAAACCTCTGGCAATGTATGGTGCTTCCTGGTTACTACTGTAGCCCGATCCGGGAGTGGTTGGGTGGTCATAGGAATCCAGCCGTTGACGGACCCGGGGCTTGTGGCTGGGAAGGACAGTAGAGAGCCATTCTTCATACCGCTCATCTTCAGTGTGATCCGGTTCAACAGTGCGCACAGAACGAGCACGCTGATAAGGGTTCGCCACTGTGTTAGCTCTCATCCTAGATGGGGTGTTCAATAACGCTGATTGTCTCATTTCCGTCAAATTTGCGTTCGTAATCGACCCATCGGGACTATCCTCCAATCCGAGGTAGTCCAGAGTGTGCACATCGTAATCATCTCCAGCTTGAGAGTCGCCCGAGGTGATCGAACGCAGTTCATCCAGAACAGGGAACGTATTACCGGATACCGTTGCACGTTGACCAGCAGTGCCGGGCACCCAAGATGAGGAAAACAAAGTTGAACCAAAAGCGTTCCCCAATCCGCCACTGGGCAGCGTCAAGGACCCCGACCTTAGACGACTGTTCCTCTCCGAAGGTGCATGAGCTGCGGCGACTGCCGAAGTGGCATGACGGAGCGATGGGCGTGCGATGGGCGCAGACGCAACGGGACTCGATGACGCTGAAGAGTCCTCTGCCAGATCAATCGTCGAGGATAAAGCAGAGGCGCTTGTGTTGGTCGAACCGTAATGTTGGGCAGTCAGGCCAATATTCGAGGGCAAAGTGCCGGCCCTGGCTCTTCTGGTCCCAGAGGGATATGAGTTGTGGACTATAGTGACCTCATCAGCGGTTACAGGGGAGTTGGACATGTCATAAGATATTCCGTCAGGTAGGGTTGTGCGGAGTGGAGGGGGACGATAGCGACCTAGGCCCTCCTCAGCCATGATCTCCCGCGCTCTAAAGCAAGTGAGTTAGGTAGACATACACTAACTAAATAGGAGCAATGCGTACCGCCGAGCATAGGCTGCAGATGGAGCTGCAGGTGGCGGAGTTTTACCTGATGGTTTAAGATAGCTCACATCCGGGTTTGGAGAGAGGGACATGACAAAGACGAAAAGCAGAAAAACACGGTCACAGATGACAGATGCAGCGTATCAAAAGGCGCTGCCCAACACAAGCTGGACGTAGAAGAAATTAGGGATTATAGAGGTTTTAATTCTGATGGGCGTTCCAAGCGAAACCTAGACCTAAAAAGTCGTTCAGTGATTATACTTGGTAGACCGCGGAACGTCTGGTATGATACTAGACTATTAGGACGTTAAAAGGCGTCAAGGAAGGGGAACAAGTGACGATGGCACACGGGCGAATTACTGTGTGCGACAACCCACACAGGCACTTTGCGCGATTCCAGAAGCAGCTAGATGACTGTCCTCAATTTGCATCCGGGGAGGTTGCCCAAAAAAGGAGGGTGAAGATCCAATACCATTCGTGGATCAATGACTGAATGTCATGGGTTGACATTTGTATATTCCTGTATATTCTTGTGTATTCGGCCGGCTGATCCAGTTCCTTGTAACTACATATTAACTCTCACTCGTTGCTGGGGCCATATCGGGCAAGAATGAATCGATTGGGTGATATTTGGTCTGGATTCCACATCAGGCGTGGTACGGGTCCCAAAAGGACTTGATTTGAGGCATAAAGGGCTAGTAGTGAACTGATACAATAGCACTCTTCTTTTCTGCCGCACGGTTGAAGCATGGACTTTCTGACACGATGATTATCCTCCCATTTCTCTGGGTCGACCAACGCGCGTGGCCTCTTCCTGGGAGAGTGATTGCGGTTCCAAGCTAGCCGGAAGCAAACAGATCTCAACTTTAGGGTCTGGTTTTCAATCTAATACATCTGCTGCTTACCTAAGCTCTGCTTCCCTAGAGTACCGACTCGGTGGACTTTATTGCATTTCAGTTGCCAGTTCTAGCTATAACCATCCCTGCTCGTCGTCCCCCACCGTCCCCCTCTCTTCCTTCCCTTCTTCATTTTGCTTCACGCAACACTCGCTCCCTCTGCATCCAACTTGTTCCACCATCCTGGGCCATTTCTTATCTGCTCCTCTTACTTTATCATTACTCTAAACGCGGTCTCGCCCAGTCTATCTCCCTTTGTCTCCAACGCCTCGCAGCATGCCCGCAAAGCCCCGCCCTGGACCCCTCCCTGCATCATCACCTTCTCCCGCACCTTCCACCCCTGCTTCTGCCTCACAGAAGTCCCCTGTCGCCATCACTCCTCCACCGCTCCCGCCCGATGTGGCCTCTAAGTTGTGGCCTGCAGACATTAAAGACCGAACTTTGGTCGCCCTTTACCACGCTCTCAGTGTTGTAGTAAGCATGTTTCTGATCATCCTCCATCTTCTCGCCCCATTAACTGTAGTTATCGTTACAGAATAACCAAGGTGTGTTTTCTCTGACACCGCATGTCGATCTATTTCACGGACATGTCTTCTGGGCGGTCGCAGCACTCTCCGCCAAGGAGCTGGCAGTTATTTGTCGCGAACAAGGTTTGCACGCAATGGGGTGGGTGTAATTATGTTGGACAGCACAATTGCCTCTATTTATCTTGATACTGTCAGCGGCGCCACTCCATCGGGCACAGTCAACACCGCCGTACGGCAACATTGTAAAAGAGCTAGGGATAACAGCTCGCCTTGCCTGTTTTCGTGGATATATTTAGCAGGTGACCAGACGGATCTCCGTCTCATTAGGTCCATCGGTGCGGAAGCTCATCGCATTGGCCCTGAGCCTGAACGAACTTATCACTGCAAGAAGGGTGGTATCACTCGCCGTGGAGTTAGATTGTTCTTCCTGAGCGAGTGGACCGGTCAACAGAATCCTTTTGAGCGTGAAGGCTTGTTTGACGTCCCAGTTATTTATGGTGCAGCAGCCACGGACATGTCAGCCGACGATGGAGTTGGGGAACACAGCCACGCCCTGGAAACAGGGGCTAATTCTTCAGACGAGCTACAAATAGGTGATAACGTGGTTCCAGTTTCTGACACGCCTTTCCCTGCCCTCTCTCCTAACGAGGATATGCCACAACGCCCTCCCTATGCAACCCACAAGTTCAGGTCCTCGGCTGAGCTTATTCCCGCTACTCCTGCTCGTCGACGGCGTTCCTTGACCCAAGACGACAGTGATTCCGAGCAAGAAGTAGCCGCCACTTCTGCATTCGACCGTTTAAATTTGCATAACTTCACCTGGGACGATCCAGCAGACGAGGACGAGGACGAGGACGACCTGGAGACTGTTCTCAGCACCCCACGTTCTACATCTATCGAGTCTGACCTCTTCAGTTCTGACGATATCATGCAGCCAGCAGCTTTGAGTTTAAGGGCATCCACATCATCTTCCAAGGAAGCGGGAGCAGCGGTTGACCCTGCAACTTTGATCGCCTATGACCAATTCTCAGGGCTCGTCGTGGGAAGCGAAGAAAGGGCGCTCGATTATGAACGTGACGGGTTCCCGGCAACATCCGATATCATCAATTCTGCCATTCATCGGATGAGCGAATTCCGAATTCAAAGATCATCATCAGTTCACCGTGGCGACGACGACAGTAATTTAGTGGGCGGGGATTCTGGGGCTGTTTCAGGGCTTCTGACTCTGCCCCCAGTTAACACTGCCATTGCCAATTTTCCTGGGGAACATCTTCATTTCGACGTGGTAACGGCCACATCACCATTTACTTCCACGGCGAGCAATGTCTCACTTGACAGGACATCGCCTTTTACCCCATCTCCGATCCCTGGTAATTGGCCAACACTCATACGTTCGGTATCTGGCGACATTGACGCTCTTGCAGACTTGGACGCACAGAATGGTGATCAGCGAAGAAAACATGATGAGGATGTCCAGGAACTCTTAGTAGGACCTGAGGGAGTGGAACTTCATGAGCTAGAAGAAGCTTGGGGCGGCGATGCATTACCAATTGCTGTCTCACCACTGGCCCAGCAGGTTCGGCATTCATCTGGCATGTGCGTCCCTATGCACACACCATGTCCCATTGGCCACCCACCTGGATACAGTTCAGTTCGCCAAACGCGTGGTATCAAGCGGTCTGCTTCTATGTCCGGGCTTGATGACGGGAGGGGCACTGCGGACACCAGCACGAGCGCCAGTTTAGCCCGGAATGCCCCGGGGGCAAGCTCGTTGGAATTGTACCTCGTTCCGGATTTCTTCTCGCCTTCTTCTGCACCACTTCCGCTCAAAGAGGACGCTGGTGCTGTGCCGCTCACTCCAACACTGGAAGCTCCGATTCTGATTCATACAATTGAGCCTGTATATCCTGCCATCTACGCGACCCAAGTTGAATGTAAGTGGTAATCTCTGATATCCCCTATCGGTAATTTACGGAGAAACTGAAATTTACATCGCTGTCTCCCCCTTTTCTCCATCGACAATTCACTCAATAGCACTCCCTGTATTCGCCACTGCTTTCGGAAATAGCCCCCGCCTTCTTCGTCGCATTGACAATGACTACGTGAACCTGACAACCCTCGCTACCCTTTCCCAACCTCCACTTTTCGCTGAGAAGCTTTCGGTCCTCCTTAGTTCTTGCCGCAATTCACATACGATTCCTTTCCCTTCGTCATCTTGTTCTTCAGCCGGTGGCCTATCCGGTTTCTGGATTCCACTTGCGGACGTGCAGCGCCTTTGTGCACATGGTGATTTGAATATCCCTGCATGTGTAGGAGAGCAGTTTTTGAGCGACATCCTCCCAGACTTATTCCCTGAGGGGATTGCACATGCGAGCAGGGCGTACAAGAAAGCAGGTGTGGGGATGGCCGGTTTAGGACTTCATGCGTGTCCGACCCCTCAACCCCTTTATCAGCCTCGAGCTATTGTAGATGATGATGTGGGATTTGACCGGCCACCCGCGAAGAGGAAGCCTGGGCGTCCCCGTCGTGCGCTTACAGAAGAGAGCATGTCAACACTGAATCGGTCCAAAAAGATAGCACATGTTAGCAACGGTATCCGAAGGGCTTCTGTCCCCACAACTCCTGCTCGGAATGCGACGAGGGCTTCGTTGAGAAGCAGCGTTCGGTCTGCCGCGAGTGCTTTCGCTGCCTAACGCTGTTTCATCATCCCCTACAATGGACTAATTATTGTGCTTCTGGGTCCCTGGTTCGACTTCGTTTCCTCCCTCTAACTAGAAGAAAGTAGTATCATTTACCACTAAAGCAACGTACTATACTTACCGTGGTGCAGCGGGAACGAGTCTCAATCGACCGCCAAACCGTTAACTTTGAAATCTCATCTCCAACACCCTGAATCGTAGACTCGAACTGACTCTGCCACATCGAGAGCCGAAACGGGCCACACTTCGTTCCACCTAAACTTTGATGTTAATTCTGCCTTGTTCAGCGACTCGACTGTCGTTCCCCACTCCTTCCATGACTCTTCTCTTTTATTCTTGTAATTCTTCGTCTCCTCTTCCATAGGATGCTCCGCGAGCTTTCGCAGGTCGACAATCCATTCAACAACTTCGAGCCTCTGCGAGAAGAAATTCGACCTTTTTTGTTCAAAGTCTTGGGGATTGACGAATTACACTTCTGTTCCTTCTTGTAGCATACAATTATATAACTATTTAGTTACTATGTATGTCCCTCTCTTCGAAATTCCTTACTGTACAAAATAGGATGTTCCTTGTTGGTTGTTTCCAACCGCACATTTTGACTTAGGGAGGCACCATTATTATTCCCACAATCTGGCAATTCCCGCTGGCATATTCCATCTGCCACGTCTGTACTGTTTTTGAGAGTCTTCCGATTCATTCATTTGACTCGATAGATTCGTAATTATCCTCTAGAAGTCATCTTTCGCTGTTGGATATGAACTTCCCTTGGACCAGATCACCACAAAGCATACTCGAGCACTATAACGTTGATCCAAGGCTTGGTCTGAGTGTTGAGAGGGCTAGGGAGCATGCGGAGGTGTACGGGAGGAACGGTGTGTTGGGTTTTCTTTGATGAGAATCCTCGTTGTTTGTTACGTACTCACAGAAAATATGACCTTCAGAGCTGCCGGATGATCCTCCGACGTCGTTGTTTGAGTTGATCCTCGAACAGTTTAAGGATCAACTAGTGCTTATTCTTCTCGGTTCTGCCGTTGTCTCCTTTGTCCTTGCACTTGTCGAATTACGTGAGGAGAACTCTGGCGCAAGCCTCGCTACTGCTTTTGTGGAACCTATCGTTATCCTTCTTATTCTCATTGCGAATGCTGCCGTTGGCGTCATACAAGAAACTAGTGCAGAGAAGGCCATTGATGTGAGGGTTGATTTTCCGTTTGTTTGTTGCCTCTGCGCATAACACCGGAAAAATATTTTAGGCGTTGAAGGAATATTCCCCTGACGAAGCAAAAGTGTTGCGCAACGGGAAAGTCACCAAACTTCATGCGACGGATGTTGTTCCTGGGGATATTGTCAACGTAGCTGTAGGTGATAGGGTGCCAGCGGATTGTCGGTTGCTGTCGATTTCATCGAGTAGTTTCAGGGTAGACCAAGCTATACTTACCGGGGAGAGTGAGAGCGTCAATAAATCCACAGCAGTCGTCAACGATGAGAAAGCTGTGAAGCAAGACCAAACTAATATGCTGTTCTCTGTGAGTCGTTCAAGACGGATCTAATGTGTTTGAATCCACTAACCAATTTTTGCAGGGCACCACGGTTGTGAACGGCAATGCTTCAGCTATTGTCGTCGCCACCGGCTCTCGCACTGCTATAGGGGACATCCACCTTTCTATCTCGGCCCAAATTGCAGAGAAAACCCCACTCAAGCGGAAACTGGATGACTTTGGTGACATGCTTGCTAAAGTCATCTCTGTAATCTGCATCGTGGTCTGGATTGTCAATATCAATCATTTTGGAGATGCTTCGCATCATGGCGTCATCAATGGTGCCTTGTATTACCTTAAAATTGCGGTTGCTCTGGCAGTGGCTGCTATTCCTGAAGGGTTGGCTGCTGTTATCACCGCCTGCCTTGCTCTGGGGACGAAAAAGATGGCCAAGAAGAATGCCATCGTGAGGAATTTGCCTAGCGTCGAGACTCTGGGGTGTACGAACGTTATTTGCTCAGACAAAACCGGCACGTTGACCACAAATCAGATGAGCGTTGCGAAGGTATGGACTTGGCGATCTCATCGCTGATCATCAGTGACCTTCTTTTAGTTTCTTGTTGTAGATGAAATTACTCAATCGACTGTCACGTACGATGTTGAGGGAACCACTTATGCCCCAGCGGGTGCTATCTGGGATGTTCAGGGCAACGTTGTTCCGCCTGCGCTTCTGCGCTCTGCGCCCTTGGCACGTTTGGCCGAGATTAGTTCGCTATGCAATGACGCTACTATTGTCTACAATGCGGTAAGCGTTATGTATCCTATAATTGGGGTCATTTCTAATCATGTTCAATAGGAGAAAGATGCCTATGCCGCTGTTGGTGAACCTACTGAGGCAGCTCTCAAGGTATTGGTTGAGAAAATTGGCTATCCATCTCCCAAAACGAATGCCGTGGCCAATGGAGCTGCTGAGTTACCGAGCGCCACTGTTGCAAATGACCACCTCGCTGCACAATTCTCTCGCATGCTGACTCTGGAATTCACTCGTGACCGGAAATCGATGTCCGTGCTTGTGCGCAAACATTCATCATCTTCTGGCCATCTCTTCGTCAAAGGGGCACCGGAGTCTGTCCTGGAGCGATGCAAATCTGTTCAGATGGGTGACAAGATTCTACCAATGACCCCCGCCCTCCGTTCCTCAGTCCTCGATTCCACGCTCCAATTCGGTTCATCGGGTCTACGCACACTTGCATTGGCGTATCGTGATGTAGCATCAGCTGACCCTTCCGCATTTTCATGCTCCGCTTCTGCCGACTATGCCCGCTTCGAACAAGAACTCACCTTTGTTTCCCTCGTTGGCATGCTTGATCCGCCGCGACCGGAAGTCAAGGAAGCCGTGGCCAACTGTCGCGCAGCAGGTATCCGAGTTATCTGTATTACTGGTGATAACAAGGGGACTGCGGAGACGATTTGTCGGCAGATTGGGATTTTTGCCGAGGATGAGGATCTGTCTGGCAAAAGTTACACCGGGAAGGAATTTAATGCGTTAGGTCTGGAAGAGAAGATTCAGGTTGTGCAGAAGGCCAGCTTATTCACTCGGACAGAGCCTGGTCATAAGAGTCAGCTGGTGGATCTTCTGCAAGGCTTAGGTTTTGTTGTTGCTATGACTGGGGGTACGTTAGGGTCCTTTGACTTTGGTAATGCCTCCTGAGCTGTCCCCGCAGATGGAGTGAATGATGCCCCTGCTCTGAAGAAGGCTGACATCGGTGTAGCTATGGGCAGCGGTACGGACGTTGCGAAGTTGGCAGCTGATATGGTACTGGCTGACTCGAATTTCGCTACGATCGAGCTCGCTGTTGAGGAAGGACGACTCATTTACAATAACACTAAGCAGTTTGTCCGATATCTTAGTATGTGGCTGCCACCCTCGATTCTGAAGTGGTCTGATAAGCTTCGCCGCTCTTTCTAGTCTCTTCTAATATTGGCGAAGTTGTCTCAATCTTCCTTACCATCCTCCTTGGCATGCCGGAAGCGCTCATTCCTGTCCAGCTTCTTTGGGTGAATCTTGTGACTGACTCACTCCCGGCAACTGCTCTTGGCTTTAATCCGCCGGATCACAGCATTATGCGTATTCCTCCCAGAAACGCACGCGAGCCTTTGGTGGGACCATGGCTTCTCTTCCGGTACCTTGTTATAGGATGCTACGTCGGTGCTGCGACCGTAGCAGGCTACGCCTGGTGGTTTGTTTTCTATGAAGGTGGACCAATGATATCATTTTGGCAGCTGGTGAGTGTTTGGTATGGACCTGATCTTCAGCCGAGCTGCATCAAGAGAGACGGGCTGCGCTTGGCCGCGCAGGTGCTGCGGAGAGAAGCTTGGCTTCCAGCCTTAGTGCTGTCCACGTGTCCATCCGAATTATTTTTCATTCTGCATGCCCCTTATTCTCCATTCAATATGTGGACACGTTTGTGTGTGGGAATGACAGATACTGATTTTTATTTGACTTTCCATCTAGAGTCATTTTCATCAGTGCTCGACGCAGTTTCCGCAGATTGGGTGTGAAATGTTCACGAACGAGTTCGCGCAGCGAGCCACCACTGTCAGCTTGTCAATTCTTGTGACAGTGGAAATGTTTAACGCCATGAACTCCTTATCGGAGAACGAAAGTCTGTTAAGACTACCTGTTTGGAAGAATATGTATTTGGTTGGGGCTATCGCACTTAGTATGGGATTGCATTTCCTAATTCTCTACGTTCCATTCTTTACGGTGAGTCAATTGTTCTCCATGTTGGATCTTTCCGACGGGGGATCGGATTTCTTCGGGTGCTGTCTTGTTCGATCGTTAGGACTCACGAGATTACTCCCTAGGTTCTTTTCCAAATCGCACCATTGAACTGGGCCGAGTGGAGGGCGATACTATATCTCAGCTTCCCAGTGATTGTGATAGACGAGATCCTCAAATTCATCTCGGTAAGTTAGATCTAATTCTGTTGCGTGTCTTCAGAGTTCCGGCTTGGTGCCGGGGACATCAAGACTGTGCATGAACTGCGGTGACACGTACGGCGATTGCTAAGATCACTGACGTTCATGTATCCCCGTTTGTTCCCTGGCCTCCATTCGGCAATGCAGAGCCACAGATGATCCATAATATTGGTGATATTATGAGATGAACATCAGATTGCTTGTGTTCGGTTTTATGGGTAGTGGAGGCTGTAGATGAGAGGACAATATTGCTGTTGGGTCACCTTATACATGTTTTTGTACTTCAGCCAAACAGTGCATCATAATTTTCTTACGTGTATTTGACAAGCATTTGACGCCCAGAAGCCGGAACTTGCCTCAACTGAATTGGACGGGGCCCGTTGCTGTGCAAGAGCACATGGACACGTAGACCTTTCAAGGACCCCAAATTTGCCTTGCCATCGCTACATAATCCGCAGTGAACATCCACCTCATCAACTAACGCTCCCAGATTATTCTCCACCACCATGAGCTCTCTCCTCCTCGACTTTCTCGCTGCGCCTAACTCAAAGTCGCCACAGATGCCGCAGTCACTGCTCGACAACTACGCATATGGCGGTGGTGTCACCCTCCCCTCTCACCTCGAGCCTGACTCGTTCGACAAGGAGCTATCGGAACTCCTTGAGTCATCCGCAGACCTTTCTGCCCTTTCCTCGCTCTCATACATCCCGTTCACGTCGTTGGACCAAACAATTCATACTCAACCCCACTATTATAGTGACTATCGTCCCGGCCCCGCCAGCACAATCACCGTCTCCAGCGAAAGCCAGAGTGGGTATGACTTTGACACGGCATCCTATTACTCCTCTCGAGATTCCTCCTCGGGTTACCTTCAATCGGATGCCCTGTCTTCGTATGACCCGCAGTCGCAATCTTATACCACGAACACGCAAGCGCGGTCGGCTTACGGCGCAGCCACGCAGGCGCCAGGAGCAAAAGACGCACTTGAAATAGACTTTTCTGGATTTGGACTTGCAGACGTGCCATATACAGTGCCGTCTCATGCGTCTACTGCGCCCCCCTCGCTTACCCACCCTCACCTCCAACATCCTCAGCCTGTCGCCATTAACGCTGATGCACTCCAGTCTGTTGATACTTTGATGGACCCTAACGAACTCCTAACACATACTGACTCCACCCCAGAGTACGAATACAACTTCGTACTTCCTCCAACGTTGCCGACCATCGTCACTTCATCCGCTCCCAACTCTCGCAAAAGGGAAGCAAGTTCCAGTCCCGAAGCGGCTCCACAGCCTCCATCTCACCGTGGCCGAAACATGGCTGGCGTTGAGTCATCCAGCAACGGACCGGTTAAACGTTTCCAGTGCCCTCAATGCACCAAAGGTATATTAGGTTTACCCTTGATGAGCTTCACGACACTGAATTCAGATATCTTTCTTCCCGCACAGCGTTTGCACGTCAGTTCAACTTGAAGACTCACATCGCTACTCATGACCCTAGCCGCGAAAAAGCGTTTGGTTGCACTTTTGATGGTTGCGGTCGTCGCTTTTCCCGTAAGCATGACCTTGGCCGACACTACATGTCTATCCACGGCATCAAGGATGGCAAGTCCAGGAACATCGATGTTGCCTCTGGCTCAGGTACCTCCACCTACAGTTTGAGCCGTGAGCGTGAGCGTCGTGAACGTGTGTGGTGTGACGGATGCGATAGGGGTTGGGTCAAGGGTGGTGAAGAGGCTTGTGAATGCGACAAGAAGTCTAAGACTTCTGCGGCTTCCCGCAGCGTCTCGGGCTGAAAACTACGTTTGTCGCGTTATCATCGGTCAGTGTGACTCGAGCGTCGATTCATCCCATCCTTTTGGTTCTAATCCTGGTGTCATGATGTAGATGACGACTCGTTGAAACATCCGTCGCGTTGCACTACGCGTTCACGACCAAGTACTCCATGGACCCGACGTGTGAACTCCTTTTATCATACCCCTCTTCCATACTTGATGATGTACCAGCTGCTCCTCGCTCCTTTGTTCCGGTCTGGATGAGCCCCTACTCTCTCTGCCTTCCCCTCACCGTCTCGTCCTTGTTGTAACTCTGTCCGTGCCATCGAAGACCTTTCACATGATTTGTAGAGACACTCCGTGCCATGTTTCGTCCCGTCGAGCCCGTGCTTTTGACCTCGTGATGGACATGGTCGAGTTGTTCTTGGTCTTCACTCTTCACCTCTCCCTCATTGATGCAGTCCCCATATCTCGGAGAACATACATCGAATGAACGTTCTTGGTTCTCCCGCTCTCTATCTCGTGATTTCCCTTCTTCTCTTTCCTAATAATATTCGTTGCAGGAAAGCTTGGATTGGTATCTAAACCGCCTTGTTTCTGATTACCTGTTGTTCCTTGCGTCTAGCAATACATGCGTAATATCTAATGAACCATCGTATACTATACGCTTCTAGTGTCAGCTTGCAGACAATGTTTCTAGGTTAAAGGTTGCTTGTGCCAGAACGGAGTTTCCCTTATGCAAGCTGTGATACCTAAGGCGATACCGTCCTCTGTCTACTCACATAATTCCTGATCCCAACAGCACTAACAAGCCACGCGTTGCCCCTATCATCCAATAGAACCATTAGAAGGCTAGACCTAGACTCCCGTCATGATGGAATTCGTGGCCCAAGTTCCCACGCTTCGATGGACGGTGCCAAGCTCGCTCTGTTGTTTTAGCGCACATCCCAAAGCTTCAAGCGATACCTGCCTCATGGTCACAATGTTGCATTACATCCTCCAGATTCTCCTCGGCATTTCCAGAACGCGAGTCTTGATAGAGAACGATCTCGGTGCATGGTAGCATGTGCGGGGGGACATCATGCCGGGCAATTCGCCGGAGACTTATTCGAGCGCCACCGATGAGATAGTGAATGCTCTCAACAGCCTGGGTTCCAACCCTGTCATTGCGTCTATATAAAAGTTTGTTGTGTAAGTGCCCACTCGTCATCTTGGTCTCCTATTTCTCTCTTTCTTTTTCGAAATGATACCAGGGAGGCCGTTACTACTATTCACGCTTTCATCGCTGTTGTTGTTATCCCCTTGAAGTAACGTTGAACATTATTGAACTGTCCGCTCCCTTGTTTATAGACGACTTCATCCGATCCTTTAGAGTCGCACGTACGGATCTCCAACGATGGCAGAATGATAGACGTACGATGGCTGAACTCGAACTGAGCATCCACTTTAATCGCCATTCTCCGACACATGGAGGTAGTGCGACATGTTCCCAAAAATGTAGAGCCTCTTTGCTAGATATTTTCCAGGGGACAATAAATGGAGGTAGGGCCGTTATTGAGCAGTACCTCAGGCAAAAGAAAATAGGTGTGTTTTCTGCCTTCACATCTCTCACGTCCGGTGCAAAGTGCCTTAACATAAGCCCTGTAGTCCGCTTCGCGACAGCGTCCTCGTGGCAAGCAAAATTTGACGAATCATTTCCATTCTGCGTGCCCCTTATTCTCCGTTTCTCCGTGAGGTTCTCGACGTTGGGAGGCGAACAAAGATGCCCTGCTGCCCATCATTCATCGGAAGACCTCTGAATCTAGGCAGTTGATGGACGAATTCAATTCAAAGTTGGATACGATCCTGAAGTTGCTTGATGAACCCACCGAATTGGAACGCCGCATGGCTTGGTACACCGATGCTGCTGGTGGCATTGAACAGTATGCGGAGCAAGATCCGAGGTTCAAGGAGCCAATCGCCTTGTCTGATGAGGTTGATATGTATTGTGAACATCACCTGCTTTCTTGATTCGCCCCGTTTCATCCTATTCGTTTCTTGGATCGGCATTGTTCACATGGGACATCAGAAACATGATCTGAACTCGCGACTTGAGGAATACAAAGAAGAGATATGATCCGCTCTGGCGACGGAAATCGAAGATTCGCTCCACCGTAATTCAGCAACCGTAGTGGGTCTCCACGCTACCAAAGCGGATGGAGGACATCGAGTTTCATACACAGTGCATCGTCAAAAGATTGGAATCGAGACGCCATGAGCCAATCAGCAATCCCTGCCTCGGAAAGATATGGGCCAACGTAGTAAGTGATGTTCAGAGCGCTGTCGATCTATGCAGCTTTCCAGACGTTCCTTTCATTGTATAGAAATGGAGCGATCCTGCCTAGGGAACGGCTTTCTTTCGTACTATCTGCGAGCAGATCCGAAGATATCCGAGTCGAATTTTCCGCCGACCAATGGACCCTCAAGTTTCTCGACTTGCCGTACCAAAGGGCCCTTCTGGATTCGATCAATACAAACTGCACTGGTTTTGTCAGTGTGGAGGTAAACAAGTTCATTGGGAGGATTTACGTGAGTCTCCCCACCTGGATTCGTTGCGAGTTATCGATTTCCCGCTGAAGCCTCCCGGCCTGGCTGGAGTATTCAACTTCTCCATCATGCTTCGAATTGCTTCGGTATGCAATCCTATTTTTTAGCATCTTTCCTCATATAATTGTTGAATTGTTGCAACCGCAGCTAGGCCAGAAACCCAGACAATGTTAAACGGCTATGGAGGTTAGCCATGCTGTGAAGGGTATTTCTAACTCAGCCGCAGAGTATTTCCGCCTCTTTCTCCATACACTTCTTATTCGTCCCTTCTCTCGCAGCTTCACTACACCGACACCCGTCGACTCATCATGTCCTGGGAACGAGCCATGCTCTTCTCGTCTAGCCCTCCGATGGGTGAATTAAGCTTCGTAGGGGAAATACTGGAAATTTTAACTTCGATCCGCTCAGCCATTGCTGGTGCTGGCGACTCAAATGGAGTTGGGTGACCCCAAACTGCTACATTGTGCGGTGTTTAAATCTCACTACGAATTTAGCCTAGCCACTCAACTAACATCTAAGCCATCGCTTCACAAGTGGTAGGGGGCAGCGTAATACACAACTTCCTTGGTAAGGGACGAGTGTGGGACGGTGAGCCCGGTTAAAATCTCGCAGGAAGGGTAGATACAAGAAAAGCTATCGGTAACTACTACGAGGCCAGGTTAATATTCGCGCGCATAGGTTAGCGGTGACGCCTTTAACGCCCGGAATCCGCACGCTAAGTTGTCTCAGTCTTCAAGTGCGATACACGGTTATGTAGAGATCTGAGGAGAAGCGAAAACGCAACCCCAGCACACAGATGTATTTGAAATGACTTCTCAGCTACGGCACACGTTGTTCCTCCGGCGTTTGTGGGGGCGGGGGGGGCCCTTCTTCGCGGGAGGCTGGGCTGCGCGTTTGTCTGGGTTTTTTGTTTATAAAACTTATGCCCTTGGCGGTTCTTCACCAAATTTCATTGACTTCTACTGGGTATTCTACATGGTCGTATACGGCCCCTGGTCATCACCTAGGAACATTAAATATATTTCCTGGGATCTATTTAGCCTGAATCTGTGAACAAACATGATGCAGTACGAAGGTATCAACTAGGACAAAGGCATCTCAAACCCACCCTTTCAAACTCCGACAAAATCCTCCGCTTTGATGACTTGATCAACGAGGTGGCAGGATTTAGAAGGACGTTGCGAAAGTGAAATCACGGCGCTGGCGCACTGGCTGCAAACAAGTTGAATGCCTATTCACGACAAAATTCGCCTCATATCGTAGAAGTCAATGGCTGCAACCACGTCGGCTACGGTGTCCATTGCTTTGATTTGCCCTGAATCCCTTCAACAGAGACTTTGTGACTCCGCATACATTGTAACAAACTTTGACCTCGTGAAGATGACCACCTGTACTATATTGCATCAACTAGTTGACCACCCCCTGGAAGTTGACCATCACCTTGCATTCACACAATTCTTCCCCAAATTCTTTCAAATTCAACACAGGTCATGTAAATACACTAAGGTATCATTGTACCAAAAATCATGTCTCTGGGTATTGTGGTTGGAAAGATATCTGGAAGAAGGTTGGGTTTTGGGACTCAAAAATGTCAGCAGCTGCATTGCAGCTGGCTCACACTGTTGGGGGCCAACTGATGAAGACTCTGTGCACTTGGATGTGGCACAGTTGGAGGTGAGTTTGGCATCATATATGATCCATCACTGCAAGATATTGTTGAAACAGTGAGGGGTTGGAAATGGTCAACTACATGATGTGGACTTCCCAGCACATGGTTTTAGGCCTCCCCCCAATTTTCTCTCATAAAAAAATCTCTATAAATTTGTGGTTGTAGGCATACACATCAGCAAAAAATTGTTATGCTCCTGAGTGCTCCGGAGTATCAAGAGCACTGGGAGAATCAGGAGGAGATTGGCCGGTCCAGGAACAGCCCATTTCCTCCGGAGTTGGCTAGGTACTCCAGGGCACTCCCAGGAGGGCCTGGAGCATTGCTTTGTGCACAAACATATCCAGTAAATACAATTTAAATGCTTCAAAGTGTATAGGGGTGAGAAGCTTCTGGGAGCTCCTGGAGCATTTGAAAATGAAAAGGAAAAAAAGAGGGAAGATCCCCCATGAATACCTCCTACCACAAGACTAACACAACAAGACACTGCTTAACATTTAGATCAAACACTATACTATATATCAAGGACACTGAGACTCACCAATACACAATCAAAATTTATGGCCTGATATATGATTAATCTGGCAACTTAATCACTTTCGGGCTGGCAGAATATGGGGGAGGGGGAAATGGGGGAGAATGAGGGGGGGAATGAGGGGGAAATGAGGGGGAGAATGAGGGGGAGAATGAGGGGGGGATGAGGGGGGAATGAGGGGGGATATAGAGGGAAATGAGGAAAATTTGAAAAATAGGGACTTCTAAAAAGTTGAAAAAAATAATTAGGGAAAAAATCAAAAAAAATTCAGGAACTGTAGTGCCTTTGAAGTGCTTTCAGGATATATAATTATTTGCAAAATCGAGGAAGAAATGATGGAGAAAAATGGAAAATACTTTCGGAGACCCGAGAAATAATGAGAACTGAATTGATGGGAAAGTCTGAAAATTGAATAGGGAAGTGAGGGGAAGCCTTGTAGCATTGTTATTTTCTGCTGTTCTAATTTTTCCTGATTGTTCTTGGTCTCACTCCCAGCTGCTACTGGATACTCCTGGATACTCCTGGAAGCTCCTGGGAGGGTCCAGGAGCAGCTAATGGAAAATACTTTTGGAGACCCAAGAACTGAATTGATGGGAAAGTCTGAAAATTGAATAGGAAAGTGAGGGGAAGCCTTGTAGCATTGTTATTTTCTGCTGTTCTGATTTTTCCCGATTCTTCTTGGTCTCATTCCCAGCTGCTCCTCAATACTCCTGGAAGCTCCTGAAAGCTCCTGGGAGGGTCCAGGAGCAGCTGGGAGTGAGACCAAGAACAATCAGGAAAAATCAGAACAGCAGAAAATAACAATGCTTACAAGGCTTCCCCTCACTTTCCTATTCAATTTTCAGACTTTCCCATCAATTCAGTTCTCATTATTTCTCGGGTCTCCGAAAGTATTTTCCATTTTTCTCCATCATTTCTTCCTCAATTTTGCAAATAATTATATGTCCTGAAAGCACTTTAAAGGCACTATAGTTCCTGATTTTTTTTTTGATTTTTCCCGAAATTTTTTTTTTCAACTTTTTAGAGACCAAAATTTTCCTCCCACTGCTCCTGGCACATTACATACTCCTCACCACTCCCAGCTGCTCCTGAACCCCCTCCCAGGAGAACACTATTGGCTCCAGGAGTGCCCAATCTGCTGTTTTGTCTCCCACATGCTCCAGCCACTCTTGATGCTCCGGAGCATAACGGACTTTTGCTGATGCAGAGCTAAGGTGCAGAGCTATAGTGACATGGATCTTGGTGGGTAAGTGGAGGTATTTTGTGGTGTCCACAAAACTCGCAAAGGTAGTGGTCAACTAAGCCACATGATATAGTAGAGTTTGTCAAAACGTGATGATCCTGGTGCAGATGGGGCTCAACTAGAGGGGGTTCCAAGAGCTCCAGTAGTGAACCGAAGTGTCAGAGACCAGATTCGAGACGAGGGAGTGTCTCCGTAGCGGAGGGCTTTGGCCTCAGCGACTTCTGCCAAGAGCGCTGTGCCTAGTGACACGTCCGTGCCCTAACTTACTGACTGGCAATCAGAACCTAAGGGGGGTAACTCTAGTTGATTTTATTACTGGAGTGTAACCTATGTACAAGTGGGATATATATATGGTTACAGTGAAGACGGGTCCGCAATTGGCGGAGCCGAACGGAGCGGAGCTAACGGGGTTAAACATTAGCCGACTGAATATTACCGACGAGTTGGGTCGTGGGGTTAGCGGAAAGGCAGGCGATAACCCAGAAACGGAAAGGAGGGATAGGCCCGAAGGTGGGCTCTGCAGGGCAGGCGAGTGTATTGCCCAGCGGAGGTGGGAGTGCGCTAGCGGACGTCGGAGCTGTCCGGAAGTCTTCGGGGCTCCGTACTTAGGGAGGCGTAGGTAATAAATTGAAATGAGGGGGTGATGACCATCGAGGGGTACCGAGAGGATTGCAGAATACGGGAGCTCCGAGGTTAGTGAGGAAGGAGCGGAGTTAGACCAGAGGGATCAGAGGGACCGGAAGTCGATGGCCGGGGATGGATATGACATGAAGCTTCTCCAGGAAGCCCAGGTCTGCAGGCTGATACAAGAGGCTCTAAGAAGGATGCAGCCTCAGTGACTTGGAGGGAGCACTGTGCCTCCATTACAGCTTAGTTAGTCCTTAATTTCAGAGGTCTGAGGTATCTTGTAGGAGGGGGACATGAATCACTCATAGGGGAGCTTGGGGGTAAGTTTTAGTCGAGATTAGAACTGGGGCACAACAAGTCCTAATCTACAGGTATATATACAAGGTGGAGGAGAAGGACTTTAGTCAAGGTCTGAGTGATACTGAAAAGTACTGAATGATATCTTTAATGGGGAACTGAGGTGTCAGGTCAAGGAGGGCAGAGTAGAAAGCTGGAGGATAAATGGGAATGAGAAATGGGTAAGGGGAAGTTAGCCAACTGAATGGAAAGAAGACATCAGTTGTACTATAAGTGGAAGATGACTAATTAAGATGACAAGAGCAGGGTCACCGGGGGATGCGGGTAGCTCTGAAGCCAGAGTTACATATCCAAGGAATGTTGGGCGACTCCACTAAATGAAATGGGGAAAGGAAGGGTTTAGAAGTCTATAACAAGATGTCGGAGGTCCATCGGTGTAAGGGGTTGGTGTAGGTGCCAACCCTGGTTAGCCTAGTTCCTCAGGCTGCCAACAAAAGTAGGTTATTATTTGCAACAGTATGGGAGGAAAGGCTAAGTTGCTCTTTCCACTTTCCCACACTATTGTATGTACTTTGTATATACATGTTTATTACAAGACAATTATACAATTATGTAATGGGAAATAAGGGGTGGGGTTACCACTCCTTACAGTTGGGAGGTTGGAGCAATCCAGGGGTGCCAAAGGTTCTGACTCAGGACCAAGCTCTTGGGATGGAGGTGGCTAAGGGTGAATGTGCCGAAGTCCAGGCTGGAGCTGAGACAGTAGGGATGGAGGTGATGTTGGGAAGTAGGGAGGAATGGTGTAGGAGATGGTGAGGTTGTTAGGAAGGTGTAGTGAGGTGGGAGAGTGTGGGGTTGGGATTCCAGGATATGACAGACTTCTTCAGAGGAAGCATCTCAGCTGCAAAATTGATGGGCACAGGAATTGCCATATCCTCCAGTGGCAAGGAAGGCATTGACCTTTGCTTCAGCAACATGATTGCTGATAAATGAAATAGCCTTCAAGTTAGATGTGCAACACTGAAGGCCCTGTGTAGCAGAACATGCAGCTGCAACACAACGTTTGGGTTGAATGTGT